GCGTTTGCAGCAGTTACATTTTCAATATTTTGTCCCAACGGTCCCGTCTTCGTTGACTGTAAATGATTGATTGGGATTCGAGTCAGCCACCTTAATAAGGCTATATTATATATTCGACCACTTTGAAGTTGCTTTGTTCACCGGCTGAAATAGCAGGAAAACGCGTTTGCGACAGTTAAATTTTCAAAATTTTCTCCTAACGGTCCCGTCTTCGAGGACTGTAAACGATTGATTGGAATTCGAGTCAGCCAACTTAATTAGGCTATATTAGACCGCTTGAAGTTGCTTTGTTCACTGGCTGAAATATCGGGAAAACGCGTTTGCGGCAGTTAAATTTTCAAAATTTACTCCTAACGGTCCCGTCTTCGAGGACTGTAAACGATTGATTGGAATTCCGAGTCAGCCACCTTAATTAGGCTATATTAGACTACTTTGAAGTTGCTTTGTTCAACGGCTGCAATTACAGGAAAACGTGTTTGCAGCCGTCAAATATTCCAAAATTGTCTTTGGGGGAGGGGGGGGTATACAAGGTCGCTGCTGTCTGTAAACCCGAAATTTTTTCGGGCATTTTGGGTTCTGCCCCCCTAACTGTCATCGAGCCCCTACGCCTATGGTAGTTATTACACAACACTATAAAACATGTGCATGGAATCCACAGAGACCCGACCACGTGCAACGACAAGTTTCCTAATGTATTGAGAAATGTCAATAAGATCCATAAAGTTTGTAGATGATATAGTTTGGTTTAACTCCATGCAAAGATTGGCCATGGTCGTAAACATATAACAAAAAAATGTCTAGTCGTTTGGTCTGGTTGAATGGCAGACTGGTGTAAGTCCTTCTTGGGACTTTTAGGTGAGTCTGGGTAGGCGATGGAGGACTGGAAGGCTTTTTATACCGATCTCATGAAAAATGGCAGTACAGTAGCTGCTTATATGCACTTTGAGATGGAGAATGTACAGCATTTGTTATGTTATAGTAATTCTGGTTTTTATTGCTTTTCTCGAAAAATTCATATAAAACGCAATAAGTTTAGTAACATGTTGACAATATGAAAAACAACATTTCATTCTAATCCTATGGCCATGCGATAAATTGTGTGACAAGCCTTTGATAAGAACTGGGTGATTTATCAACGCTTTATCAAGTATGAATAATTGATAAGTTGTCTGCATGTTTATAAACAATCAATAATTGCCCACAAAAATATTGGCAACATTCCTTATTTGTAAACACAGTCTGATTAAGATTCTATTTGTCCCCCGCCTTTCGAAGAAAGCAGGGGACTATTAAAATGGGTTCGTCCGTCTGTCTGTCTGTCTGTCCGTCTGTCTGTCCGTCTGTCTGTCCGTCCGTCTGTCTGTCCGTCACACTTTTTGGGACACAATAACTCTCTTCCTAATTGAGCTAGAATGTTCAAACTTGGTGTATGTGTTTATTAGGTCAATGCCTTGATGGAGTTCGAAGATGAGCATTTTCCGCTTAGGGTAAGCAGAGATAAGCAATTTGATTGGTTGATGCTTTGGGACACGATAACTCTCTTCCTAATTGGGCTAGAATGTTCAAACTTGGTGTATGTGTTGATTAGGTCAATGCCTTGATGGAGTTCGAAGATGAGCATTTTCCGCTTAGGGTAAGCAGAGATAAGCAATTTGATTGGTTGATGCTTTGGGACACGATAACTTTTAATTGAGCTAGAATGTTCAAACTTGGTGTATGTGTTTATTAGGTCAATGCCTTGATGGAGTTCGAAGATGAGCATTTTCCGCTTAGGGTAAGCAGAGATAAGCAATTTGATTGGTTGATACTTTGGGGCACGATAACTCTCTTCCTAATTGAGCTAGAATGTTCAAACTTGGTGTATGTGTTGATTAGGTCAATGCCTTGATGGAGTTCGAAGATGAGCATTTTCTGCTTAGGGTAAGCAGAGATAAGCAATTTGATTGGTTGATGCTTTGGGACACGATAACTTTAGTTCTAATTAAGTGAGATTGATGAAACTTGGTGTATAGATTTATTATATGAATACCTTAACTAAGTTCGATAATGAACATGTTTTGCTGAGGGTAAGCAGAGTGATAAGCAATTTGATTGGTAGAAACTTTGGAACACAATAACTCTCCTTCTAATTGAGGTAGAATGTTCAAACTTGGCATAGGTGTCTATTAGGTGAATGTTTAAACTTGATGTATATGTAGATGTTCATTAGGTGAATGTCTTGACTGAGTTCAATAATTAACATTTCGAGCTGAAGCTAAGCAGAGCTAATCGATTTCATTTGTCGATGGTTTGGGACAAGATAATCTTGATTCTATCTGATAGAGAGTGATGAAACTTAGTGAAAAAAATAAATGTGCGATTAATTAATATGTGTCATCTATTTATTTTGCAATTTCGGCGGGGGACATCAGCCTCACTGTTGGCTTGTTCATTTCTTATTATAGTTGAAAATTTCGTTTTATGTTTTGTTTTATTTGTCTGTACTACACTAGGATCTGGAAGAGTTGTTATATAACCTGCGTTCTTGATGGTGCGAGGGAGTAGCCAATGAAACCATCTGTTGCGCCGAATTCTTGGCGTGTGATGCACGGAACTGTGGGTAAACTGCTATAAACGTCAATGCTGATTGATTAATCAATGTCTGACATCATGTCAAAAGCTGTTGATGATCTAGTCCAAAAGGATTTGCATTGCCATTTTCTTTTTTAGAAATTGATTCCCAAACCCCACCTATAAGAAAAATCCTGAGTCCATGCTTTTATTTGCATTTAAAATTCTACCTGTATATCATCAATGTGTATTCAACATATTGATTACCTGTACACACATGATACAGGTATAATATAATTTATATTACAGGTGTGTCGAATCACATGAGCAAAATTAAATTGTTAGTCACATATTTGTACTTGACAACATTATTTTTATCCTTTTTTTCTGATTTATAAGTATCATATCAATTTCTGCAATAACCAGGTTATTGAAGACAGGCATATGCCATGCAGTCTACCATGAGGGTTAATTTTCCTGGACAGTGGTGTTCCCGCTTACCCGGTACTCTTCTTTGAATTTCAGCCGCCAAGGGTTCTTTTACGTGCATGCCAATGTTTAAATAGGACCTTGGTTTTTCGTACCATCTGAAGATCTAGATGCTTTTTCTTTGCCCGACCCTCCGTCCTCCCCCCTACTGGCAAGGAAAAACCAAGCTGGAAAATCCTGAGGAACTTGCTATGCCAACCCGGGCTCGAACCTGGGACCTCCTGGTTAGTTAGCCAGCTCAGCCAGCACCATACTGAGTCACCATTTTTCTTTAAACAAAAAATAAACATGACAGGAGGATTTTAAATGGTTTGCAGAATCTGTTGATGAATATTGACTTATGTAAAGTATGGTAGGACTTTTTTTGACCCAAGATCTCCGCCTTGTTCTTGTTGAGCTTAACATCTGCTTCCACCCAGGTGGTATCACATCCAAGGATCTGTCAGCATTGCCCTAAAATATGTCTTTTTTACCTACCTGAAAATACCTTTTGACTTTGGACACATTTGGCCCTATTCGACTCCCTGTCTAAATGAATTGAAATGAAATAAGGTTAGACGTCCTACTCCAACTGGGTTAATGAAGACAGGCATATGCCACACAGTGTGCTATGAGGGTAGTTTTGCCATGCTGGAAAATCCACAGGAACTTCTGGACGAACGCCGGCAGCAAACCCGAGACCTCCAGGCTATCGAGCCAGCATCTTACCCACTGAGCCACCATGGTTCCCAACTCCCTTCCTAACATACCCTATGTATTCTACTGTCTGTAAGAAGATTGATTGTGTTTTTTGATACAGTAATGAATAATTGTTTATAGGAAGTAATCTCTATGTTTATGTTCAACTTGTGTTCAGATAATAGATTACACATGTATACCTCTACATCTTCTCATTTTAGTTACAAAAATACAACTTGTTTACTCTGGAGGAAATCAGATTGGCCTAAAGGTTAACATATTTTAATGTTACCTGAAATTTGTAACATCTTACAGATAATATTTATATTAAAGAAACCAGTTGGTAAAATGTAATTTTAGATTGGAGGATGATGGTATTGTTCAAACTGTTAATTTGATTACACAGTTGCCTTGAGGATTTGCTATTATTATATGTGTTCATCTATGGCTTGTTATTACAATATTTAGGGTTTTTACTATTTGTTATCATTCCCTTTATAAATATGAGAAAAGCATTGTCGAATTGATGCAGGTTAATGAACTGGTAATTGTTATTCCATCTATCATTTACAATGTGGTATTCATATCGTATTCATACCTGCCAATGTTAAATGTAATGCAAATTTTTTCGTAGTTATCAACGAATTTTAAGAAGGCTGGTTTAAAATGTAAAAGCCTAGTGCTTGGATTTACGATAATTATGGTTATTTTGAATATGATGTTATATAAAATCAATTATATTTATTTTCTTGGTGGGAATGATAATGACTCTTTAAAACTGGATTCTACTGTGTACACTGTGCATTAAATAATTCTCTTATGACTTACAGTGTCTATGTGTTTTATCTTGCTCTAGTGTTTCAAGTTAGTTGTTTTTACAAGGGTATGTGGTGCGATCAGCCTGCATGCGATTACTATATTATTAGTGAGTATGGTTTCTGATTCAGTATGAGGTCCTGGGCTTGTTGATCCCGGTGTTTGCTGTGAATGTTACTTGGGATTTTCCAGTCTGGTTTCCCCTTATAAGTGGTGGAGTGCCTGTCAAGGCAAATGCATCTAGTCATTTAGATGGGATGAAAACAACGATATCCATCTGGCGTGCAGAAAAGTAGGACATTAAACTCCATTTCATTTCAGATTGGGACCTTTCCCTCTAATAGCAAAACTTTGGCATCCAGGCTAAAATTCGAAAAAGTAGATCCCAATTTAAGAGAATCCATTTTCCCTAAAAATGTATATTATGTACTCTGTATTAAGTTTTGTAAAATTGTTTTTTTTTTCAGGTTTGGATGCAGCAGGAAAGACAACTATTTTATATAAATTAAAATTAGATGAACTGGTGACCACTATTCCAACTATAGGTTTTAATGTTGAGTCTATACAGTATAAAGATGTTAATTTTACGGCCTGGGATATTGGCAGCCGAGATAAAATCGTAAGTTGCAATTGGTCAATTTAACATGTCCAACTACTATTCCACCAGTTTGTCATTTTGTAAATTTAGGATTTTGATGGTACTATATTTTTTTACCGTAATTATCTTATGTATTACAGCGTCCATTGTTTAGACATTATTATAAAGGAGCTGATGCTGTGGTGTTTGTTATAGACAGTAAAGATCGAGAGCGACTCGATGAGTTAAATTATGATGTTATAAAACCAGCCATAGCAGCAGAGGAACTGAAAGAATCCATCTTTCTTTTTTTGGCCAATAAAATGGATTTAGAGGATACCATGACAATAGAAGAGATCTCCGACAAACTGGGACTCAAAAACTTAAAACATCCCTGGAGTAAGATATTTTGCTTATCTTTATCAATTCATGCATTTCCAAGGATATTTCATTTGACTGAACCATTATGATCCTGTAGACACGTATGCAATATACATAAAGTTTCAGTAGACTGAGTGTAAGTTGTTTACCACTAAGTAAGTGTCATGTGTGCTTTGTGAGACAGGGCCCTGAAAATTTAGCATACCTTAATGTACATGTAAGTTATAATATGACCTGAAAGGCTTTTAACTTTTACACTAATGTTGAGATCTATAGAATATGCCCACTCTAAAGCAGGATCCTTATACATAATACACAAGGTCTTTATCAGTATAATGCTTTAGGGAGCCATACTAAATTCAGCCTGTCTTATAGCAAACTGTGCTGTTGCATGCACTGATAAAAATTTGATTAGCAGGTATTGTTACCATAGTAATACTTTATCTCCAAAATAAGCACATTTTTAAACCCAGTACTATTTTCTCTATCTTTCAGATATTTTACCAGTTAGTGGTGTAAAAGGTGATGGGCTTCATGGAGCTTTAGATTGGTTAGCATCAAAACTTGGTTCAGCGTCAACCAAAAATCAAAATAAGACTGCAGGTCCTTCGATAGGTCTGACCTCCGATACAGAGGAGATAAGTGAAGAGCAAGATGAAGCAATTGCGCACAGAGATTATTGTTCTCGTGCATACAGTGCTATAAAATGTCTGTTTTTAAGAACTAATAAAAATGACAGTCAAGACAGTTTGGATAAATAACAGTGAAGATAATAGAATCGTAACATTTTCCAGATATTTATTCTATAAATGTATAATTTTTTAATAGAGAAAAATGTCTCCCAGTTTGAGAAATTTTCAGTGATCTACCCTAATTTGAATTGTTGTCGATCTCAAGATTAGAATCAACAGTGGGAACAGATTAGAATCAACAGTGGGAACATGATGTACTTTCCTTCGATGATTCAAAAAATTGTGCAATTTTGTGTTAATTATTTAAATGAAACTGATAAATAAAAAAAGTGTGTGTGTGTGACAAATATCACAAGAAATAAATAAACAAAAAAAAAAAATTATAATAAACTCTTCTGATAATCAAATTAAAATAAACTGGTTCTTTTGAGGTGTTCCTCTGTAACTATTTAATGTTGATATGAACACATTAATATGGAATTTAAAAAAGACAGATTGTTTTTAGAAAATAACAGCATTGTTCTGTTGTGATCATTAACAATGATTATGGTATTTGGTGTATACTATACAAATACCGTATTTTATGATATAAATGAATTAAGCAAAAATGGGCACATAATTTCCCCCTAACCATCCACTTGATATCTACATACCAGGAGTTAATCATCATGATATAAATTAGATACTAGCAGGCCTGGATATAATGGTTTCAGTTGTACCTGAGAATTGTCTGACACTAATGAACTATATTATAGTTCCTGACATTCTCAACATATAATATCAATAAAAACACAGAAAAAAGACAAATTTGTGCCAGACAAAATGAAAGGCGCCAGAGAGATTGTGCCTGACAAAAGTCTAAATTTATGCCTGACAATGTCTGTGACAGGTGCCTTATATCCAGGCTTGCTGCATGTATTGTATGTGTGTTGTATCTTGTAAATCACTGTTTGAGTGTAACTTCATTTCGGTGTCATAGTTTCAACTTATGTCAAAGTGTGATAACAAAAAACAAACCTTGCCAGTCAACCATATTTTATAAATTTGCTATTCCAACATTTATTTCATTTGCCATGCATTCTTTTCTGTTTCAACGTTTAATATTTGTGTTGGCTACGGAGAGAGCTCTGCTTACAAAGTTAATCTCACTCAACATTTTAAGTAGTTCTACAGGTTAGAATCATCTTTCCTATGTTTATAAAAAAAAAGTGTAAAAAATGCATGATTTTTTTTTTTCATTTGAAATGTGTATCTAGTTTACATTATAGAGATGTTGTGATATTATAAAGGGAAATAACTCTTGTATTGAAAGTTAGATGAACATGTTTTTTTAATACACAAATACCATTAAGGGCATAGAGATGTTAATGCTCTAAAGAATGCTGTATCAGTACATGTTACATGTTTTTGTGTTAGAGGTGGGTTTGTGCTGGGGGAGTGGGGGGTCTTACCAGTTATGGAATCTGATTTTAGAGAGGGTTAAATCGCCAGTCTTGGAATCTTATTACGGTATCAGGGGGTTAAAATCATTGATCTTTGAACTTTTTTTTAGGAGGAAATGGGGGGGTAAATTGTCAGTCTTGGAATATTTTACAAATGCAGTTACCATTATTGGCAAGAATTTGAGAACAATCCAGTTAATATTACTGTATTAAGTTTGTAGAAGAAATGCTCATGTTAAGCTGCTCAGATTAATTATATATTAGTTGTACATAGATAATAATAATTATACAGAATATTATACTGTTTATAAGACTAGATTAATCACATACCCACTTCAAGGATTTAATGTGGGTAAAATTATTATGCATATTTTTGTTCAAAATGTTTTCTGTGCCCATTTAATTGTCCGTAACATAAATCATTGATCAGAAATATGCATTACTAACGGACAGGTAGTACCAATATAATGTTTAATGGGGAAACGTATGCCAGAACGAATTATAAGTCCTTTATGACACTATCCCTGTAATTGCAAAAAATATTGCTCTCATCATAAGACGGTTAAACAATGAAGTCCATGTGCATAATCTATGAAATCCTTGACATGATTTGAATTATTATATTATAAATATTACTGTTATTTGTATGTAAATTCAAAGTTCAATTTAATTTAAATGCAAAATATTGAAGATTTGTTAATTGAATATACAGAATTTATTTTACTAGCTATCTATATGTTTGTATTAGTGTGCAATAGAATCTCTAGCACTGTTCAGTAAGTTTTACACTGATTTTGAATGTAAGGTCAAAAGCCTGCTGGGCTGTTATGGTTAATACCAGGTTTCATTTATTTTTTTCCAGTTACGATAACTTTATTGTCAGTCATCGAAGTTCTTGACCTTGTATTTGCAAAATCAGGGGATTCTAACCATGAGGCATGTGGTTCAACAGGATTTTAAAACATAGTTACAGATAACCTCTTCAGTCTAGTCTAAGCATGTTAGATCCCAGTAACTATGTTATGCCGAGCCCTAGTGTACTTATTTATCATGGCTAAATATGATTATGTAGACATCCATACTTATACACTGTTTATTGTTTTAGCTGCCGTCCTTATGAAATTAGATTGACTGAAAACCAAGAAATATTGAAGAATATTTGTGCCATAATATTTGCATTTGTATGATTTGGTTTAATGTTTGCATGCTTTGGTTAAAACTCTATGTAAATGTCCATTCTTTACCAAATCTTGTGTAATATTTTCTTTCTTAGATTAAAGAATGTTTTGTTTCTTTTTATTTTCATACCTATCGAAATTCATAATATACACCTAATATTGTTAGAATGTAATTCTATAAATGATCATCAATAAATCCTTATGCTAAACATAATTAATCTGTATATTATTTGTAATCAGCAAGATTTTATTATTGCCAATGATGAATGGTCAGTGGACAAAAGGACAGCAAGGAATTCATAGTGCGGAATGAAAAATGGAGCTGTGTGGAAAAAAAAAAAAAAAAAATCCTGGAAGTCCTTAGCCTTTTCCATAATCTGATAAAGTGCCAAACTGGGGCGAGGAAAGGTCAAGCTACTGCTTACATTAGACTCCTGTCTTGCAAAGTGCATCAGTCCTCGATAGTCATGGGTGCACAGTGATAACAATACTGATCTTATAACTTACAGGATTAAGATGTTTGGATGGTCTTATGGTCTGCAGGAATTTGACAGAGAACTGAAGAGTATGGAGAAAACTAGTGCAGACAACAGCACTAGATATACAAATTTAATGTAACCTCACAGCGCTATGAAAACAAAATACCAGCAGAAATTTTTTTTTACCTTTCTTATTTACAAATAATATTATTAATTTACATTCTCTGATGACTGTATAAGCAAAACAAATAAAATATATGTATAAATTTACAAAATAAAAATCTTTTACTTTACATTATCACAAATTTTCATAAATTCAACAATTTTACGTGAAAAGTTTTCATCTGGGTTGTTACTGCTTGTAACTACAGCCTTTCTTCCATATTCCTTAGCCTGAAAATAAAAAAAAGCACAATTCATATTAAGCTTACTCTTTTTGTCTTAAACAAAAAAATTAAATAAAAATTATAACACAGATTCTTTTTTATTTGAATTTTCATAGTTTAAATTTTGTTTTATTTATTGGTGACAGTAAGGTTAGGATTGTTAGGAAGGTTCTTAATGCTTGGTGGATTTGCCAAGACAAGTAATCAAGATCAAGTTTTGTTTTTTTTTCAATTTGGATATTACATAGAACATAGGTTTTTTGTTTTTTTTATATAAACATTATTTTATTTAAAATTAAAAATACATTATGGGAGATTAGATAAAGAGCTGGCAGTTCTCACTATAATATTTAAAAACTAGATAATGTAACGATTGAATTTTTGGCCTAGCCTCGATCATCATTACTAAAATCGGTATGATAAAAAACCTAGTCTTGATTATCCATTTCATGATTAAATCATAAATGGAAGTCAATCAGCAAATCGGAACCTAATCCAATAAACATCGCAGGCTAGTGATGACATCGAGAGTTGATTATGGTCTGGATAAGTTAATTAATGTCTAATTAATAATTTAGATAACATATCAGGCCTAAAGAAAGACCTGCAATATGCAGATTTAGCTCTTGCATAATGTATGTTTAATTTTAGGATTGGGAAACCGGCAAAATCTATGTACTCCCTCTCCCCTCAGTTTGTTTGTACAAAAGTAGGGGCCAAGGCAGGTAAGCTGTTAAGGGAAACTTTCATGACTCTTCAAGTCCAGTTCCCACTGATAACTGCTAATAATGTGTCTTAAAATGATCAAGGTAAAGTGTCAACAAAACCATCTGTCACATTCCATTTTGTTTGCATGGGCTAATATTGAGAATCAGAAACGGGGTGTATATTACAAGTTTTACCTAAAATATGCTTTAAGACTAGAATGACTAATTCACAGAGAGAATGACTAATTCACATACAGAATGACTAACAGACAGAATGACTAATTGAGTAATTCACAGATAGAATGACTAATTCACAGTGGATAACTTACCTTATTCATTTCATGGAAAATAAAATATAACATGGCGAGTGCATGACAGATGAGAGCCAAGTCATCAACTCGACAGTTTGTCTGATGTTCACGCATATCATAAATAGCATTTAAAACTTGAATAGCTTCTGCTTCCTGGGCTTCATCTAATCAAAATAAACCCATTGATATTAATGAAATTACCATTATGAAACAGTATAAGATTGTGCAAAATGGTTTGTTTTTATTTAGGTAATGATACATATGACCACAGCAGCTACATTGGTCGATCAGTCTTCAAAAGTTGTCACAGAATTAATGGGGTGTATTTCAAAGACACTAAAACCTGATTGGTGTCTGCTAGTGCTAACATTTATTATACAAAACATGTATAACGTAGCAGATTGAGTTATTGGAAATCATTGAAAATAGCATTCTTCTTCTCATATACGGTATAAAATCACTGTGTATAAATTTCAAACATATTTCATTTTTTTTCTGGTTGCACCCCAATTTTCAAAATTCCAAATAAACTTCCAGTCAATTGTCTAATATTATTATTATAGTTCCATGCTATCCTTGAGAAGACTGACAGGAGTATTTAGGGAATTCATGAAGATGATAAAAGGATTGTTTATCTCCCTTGGGAATGATCAATAGAGTAATGTAAGACAAAAATACATCAGGATCAATTTAAAAAATTAAACATATCTGTGTACTTTGTATCTTGTCCGCAGGTTTGTCTTTTTGGTTTTGTTGGCATGTAAGTGCAGTACTCTTGCTCTTACCACAGAAATTGGGGTTAAATGTCCACACACACTCTCTTACTATAAGACTAATGTAAAGTAAATTGAACATGTTACTATACAATTCTACTAAACACTGTAAAACAAGATCTGTAGTCAACTAAATTGTTAACTTATCAAAATTTAATAAAAACTAACCTAGTTTGTCTTCTTCATCCACAATAACTTCTACAGCTCCAGGTCCAACTCCCTTGGGTGTTTCTGGTGTTCTAGTTCTACATTTGACTATACCATCTAAATGACTATACCATATATCTGTTACCTTAAACATAAAACATGCAATTTGAAATTCAAGCAGTGCAACAGTGGTTAGGACAACACAAATGTTTGTGTTTCTTTGAGAAATAAAAATATATTGTGAGAAGACGATGAACATTGTTTATAATTATGGTAGTTATGGTATTTCTGATTATGGCCCTTGGATCACAACTTTCAATCTCCCAGATTAAATCCAGTAAGAATCTAACCATGGACCTTTTATGATCTGACTTCAGGAGTATTTATTGGAAGAGATATCAAATGCATGAGTTGGTCAAAATCGCCAATACTTATTGGAAAATTTCCTGTATCTATCATGATAAAGAAATGAAATGAAATGAAATGGGGTTTAACGTCCTACTGTTCTGCTCCTATACTGGGCTAATGAAAACGGGCAGAGCCATACAGTGTGCTATGAGGGAAATTTTGCCCGGGCAGCGGCACTATCACCTACTCTTATATCGAAATCCAACTGCCAAGGGATCTTTTACGTGCATTCCAATGCATACATGGGACCTCGTTTTTTGGTCTATGTATTTTTTTCTGTTAATTTTTGCAAAGACGGAACTGAAGATATGTATAACAACTGATATCATTTTCAAAGCTGGGCAGGCAACCCTACTCATTGTGTATTGGGAATTTCTATGCTTGCAATGTCAAGAGAGAGAGAGAAATGGGGTTTAACGTCCACTCGACACAACTAGGTCATTTCGGGACTAACATATGGTTTAATTTTATTTCAATAATTCGCTTGCGCATAGAGGTCTTTAGCAATGGGAGGAAACCGGAGGACCCGGAGAAAACCAACGTGGTTGGACAGACGACCCCACTCCTTGTCACGTACAACCAGGTATTCGAAACCAAGCCAGTCGACTCAATGACAAACTTTATGATACAGCGCGCGCACGCTAACCATTCAGCCATCCACCCCCCCCGCTTGCAATGTCAAGTAAAAGGTTTTGTGTAAATAAATATAAACACAATGTACCTGTCTGTAGAGAGAATCAGCAATTTCCATTTTGCCTTGACGGAAAAACACATTTGCCATGTGGAAATATCCACCTGCTGTTCGGATATCATCAGTACCAAATTCTACAGATGCATGGTAGATCTTCAAAATAAATACAATAAATTGACAATACAACATATAATTTGCTTTAAGATACACACAGGGGCGTGTCCAGGAATTTGAGACAAAATTTCTGCTCACTTCAGTGCATAAATGTATAGGATTAGAGTGCAGTGAGGCATAAATAGTGGCAATGCTCTTTTGACCTAATTTCTATGAATGTAGAAGGAAAAAAATATGCTCTCTGCTTAAACATACATTATGCAAGAGCTAACTGTCTTTCTTTAGACCTGAAATGATATCTACATTATTAATCAGACATTAATTGACCTATCCAGACCATAATCAACTCTCGATGGCATCGCTAGCCAGCGATCTTTTGTGGATTATGAGCTGATTTACTGCATAACTTTCCTTCACGATTTAATGATTAAATGGATAATTGTGATTATGCTGTTTATCGTACTGACTTTAGTAATGATGATCAACGCTAGGTGGAAATTTCAATAGCTTAATTCTCGGTTCATAGTGGATCAATTTGAATTAAATTTCCAGCAAATTGCCTTTATATTATCTAGTTTTCAACTATTATAGTGAGAACGGCCAACTCATTATCTAATCTCCCATAATGTATCTTTAAACAAGGGAGGGTCTTGGTCCCCTGGATGCCTCCTCTGGACATACACCTGAAATGCTATAGTTATATATGAAATTGATAATAATAATTAGCAGTATTGTGCATTTAGATTTTTGCTTATAAATTTTGTTGGATTTATGGTGGTGCTGAATGAAAAGAGTATTCTTACATCATCTGCTAAATTTCTTAATGCTTCGTCATATTCTCCTTTGGCAGCATAAAGTAATCCCAGATTTCTATAGAGTTTTGATTTGATGGCATTGGAACATTCTGGTGTTTTCAAAACAGTCCACTGACCCTGTGCTAAATATTCCTCAGCTTGGGATAATCGCCCTAGGCCTAAAGCAAATTTGAAGATTATAATTACTGGTAGATACAATGCCAAAACCATGCAATGAAGAGAACGGTAAACAAATGGGTCCCATCTAACACTCACTCAAATGATCCTGCAATATCATGCAATGAGGTCAACGGTAAAAAATGGATCCTATCTAACACTCACTCAAATGATCCTGTCACAAACTTACATCTTTATTTCAATATTTCAATTATGCACAGGCTCTCATATTAGTGGAAGGTCCTGAAGAAAATCTTCATCGCTAGGCATTGGTGTCACAACATGAAGTCATAATGTTATGGGTAATAACAGTACTTTTTTTTAGAACAATTGGCTGCCAAACATCAAAAGATTTTGCTTAAAACTAAATTTCTTCTATTTTTCAACATGATTAATTAGGGATATACTGATATCTAGTAAAAAAATAGAGAGAGAGAGAGAGCGAGAAATGGGGTTTAACGTCCACTCGACACAAACTAGGTCATTTCGGGACTAACATATGGTTTAATTTCATTTACATAATTCGCTTGCTCGTACGGGTCTTTAGCAGTGGGAGGAAACCGGAGGACCCGGAGAAAACCCACGAGGTTAGACAGGCGACCCTACTCCTTGTCACATACAACTGGGGATTCGAAACCACGCCAGTCGACTCAATGACAGACTTTATGATACAGCGCGCGCACGCTAACCATTCAGCCATCCAACCCCCCAGTAAAAAAATAGAAGGCAGAGTAATTTTTCGAGTAAGATAAAAGACGATTGAAATCAGATTGTCATTAACAAACTCATTAAATACCTACCTATACTGGCTTCACCCAATATAAGATATGAAGGGACTAATTCTATACTAGACAGCCCATGTACATCTATAGCAAATCTTAATGACTGCATAGCAGCAGGTACTGCTTGTTCATGTTTTCCTTCAAATAATAATTTCTGCCCTGTTGTACGTGTTAGGTCTATCATCTGACGCTGTTTATATAAGAAAAAAAAAGTGTTAAATCAAATAGTGTTTTGTATTGCTTGAGTTTGTATTACAAGTATTCTGTGTTTATTTTTAAAGAGCTTTTTAAAAGCTTAAAGATACATTATTGTTTCAAGCTTAAGGAGCTGATTCAATTATAATTTTTTAATTAAACAAACCTTTTTATCTAGTAAAACCCTTTCTCTTTTCTCCCTCTCTCCTTCTGAGGGTAGAAATGGTGCTGGCTGACGGAGTAGTGCTAAATTTTCACATATCTTTTCATGAATTCCCAACCAATCTGCTTTTTGATGCTCTACACCACTACAATAAAAATTAAATAAGCATACATGAATATTTGAGTTCCTGGGGTGGGGTGGGGATGAAAAGTTTCTTTCTGGTACCTGAATTTCTTTATTTTGCTGCTACTGTAAATTGACTTATTTACACCTTTTTTATCGAGTGAGAATATTGATATTTCAAGTATTAGAGAGATTCTGGTTTTCTTGGTACTAAGCCTATACCTGTCCTTTAGTCAAAAAGTATTGAGTGGAAAAAAGGGTAATTAATTGCCCGAATTCCTGTGTCATCAAGTCTTCTTCTGAACCGTGGTAAATTATGAACGGATTTTGTTGATTGTGAACAAACTACTGAATAATTGTTATTAAAAACTTGCCTAAATCCTCTCCGGTTGAATAAAATCTACTGCACAATTGAATATCCCAATGAAAAAAAAAAAATCTCTCTTGAAAAGTCAATGTTTTTGCTTGTTTTTGTACAACTAAACCATCTTTATATGTTGAAGGGGGCAATGGTTGACAAATTTTGACAATCACATGTGCTGCATTCACAACAATTAACGCATGACCTTTCCGATCGTTTGAGTTTGGGCATCAAAAATGGCAATTGAAGACAATAAAATTAATTTGGAAACAATTGATTGTCAGGCTTCTAATTTTTTATTCACAATAAATATATCACCGATTACACAAATACACGTAAATGTTGCTTTTCACATCATCATCACCTCATAACTGTAAATACCCTGTGTTATTGTGTATTATATATATTTTAATAAATTATATTAGGCCCTACATCCCTGTCAATTATATGCAACTCTGTGGCTAACATTTATAAATAAACATACTTTATTTCATAAACTATGAAAAAATGTCATCGCTTCTCACGTTCCGACTGTTCACATCCATAATATTCCTGATTAAATTACTTTTTTTGGTTTATTCGATAGATAAGCTTACTGAAATCGAAACACTGTTGATAAGAACAGTTTAGGATGTCTAAACATCGTTTATCGTCTTTATAAAAATGTATTTAAAACAAAAAATCACTTGTCAAAAGGGGTATCACAGTTTGCATGTATTATTGGGTCTTGTGTGTTAATTATGCAGACCATGGGAAAAACTTGTGCAAGTTTCGCGCTAAATTTAAAATTCCATTCTCTGTGATTTTCAAAATGGAGTTGTACTTGTGATTAATATAGGCCTATATTTAATAACTGAGAGTACAATCCTATGGATACATTGCCCTGTGAATTTCCAAATACAAGCCGGGATTTTCGGAAATTAATTGTTTTACCGAGACGCAAAATTCTGAACACTTTTTGCACAACGGAAATAATATTCGAAGAGATATAGAAAGACATGGAACTGTCTGCACTATGATTTGTTGTTGAAAAATAATTTTCAGTATTTATATAAAAAAAAATAATAACGTTATACCAATTCAATGATTCAATGTAAAATAAATCGGCATTTAGTACATTTACGGATTTACCCCGGCTACAGCCGATTGCCGAGGTTAATTGACAGGACTGCTTAAGGAGCTAAATCGCTAATATTTTGGATCTAGAAATTGACTCAAATGGGTCGCAACGCATATAATAATGATGTAATGTGAATGTATATATAAATTGATTTACATTCAATCGTTTCTGTTTTTACTGCAATTTCTAATCAGTTATGTTCGGCGAAATACACCAGAAGTCTCAATCGAATGGCAATCTCTAGCGCCTGGTTATTCCACTCTATACCGATAGTATTTATTGCGCATGCTCTCCAGATAAAAATATGGCGTCACCGATTGGCATGACTTGTGGAATATATCTAGCCTCTTTCTACGAGTCCCTTGTTAAAAATGACGCTGAAATGCACCATGGTACACGAATTGGTACACAATTTGTGTACCAATGGTAAAATGTTTATTTTGTCTTAATTATTGGATATCAGAAGCCCATCTTTTCCCCGTAAGGTCACAACATCAATGTTGATTTAAATTGACAAATAATTTGTGTTTTCAATGTCGAAGATTTTGGATGATATTGAGTTAGAGACTTAGCTACTTTAAGTTCATCAGGAAATATTAAAGGAATGTCGTTCTTTTTGTTCAGCACCTGTGTTCAAAAGAAATAATCCCACTCAACTCTCTAACCAAATAATTAATACAAGATGGAAACAAAATAACGGACTACTACAGACGTACCGGTATTTATTTTTGTAAACGCCCGAACTCATTACTGGGTCCAAGAGCAATAACTTATTCATACACAAAATTTGAATTGTCATAAAAGAGCCAAACACCGTAACGATATTATTTTTGTAAACGCCCAAACTCATTACCGGGTACTGGGTCCAAGAGCAATAGCTTATTCATAGTGACTCATACACAAAATCTGAATTGTCATAAAAGAGCCAAACACCGTTACGATAGACAAGCCTTGCTGAGACCCCCTTATACACAGGTAAGTTTATAATAACCAAAGTCAAGTAGTTTTTTCATAATCGAAGAAATCCGTTTAAAATTTACGATGGTTCAGACAGTAGCTTCTAACTAATACTGGATACTGGTCTGTTGGGCAATGGGAATTTTCAAATAGTTTTTGGCAAGTCTGCTCACATGTCTATCCATCCAAGTCTTCTGGCTATAGGCCTACTAGATGGATCAAACTAGAACTACCAACTATTTATTTCCATTAGGCCTAGAGTCATTAGACTTACACTTAGTAATCTTTATTTTGGATGTGAGAACTTTTGGGAAGTGAATATAATGCATACAATGTTGGATATATAGTTATCATCTGATTTATTGTTAAAGAGTAAACAATATTGCTATAAATTTAGTAATTAACTTAACATGTGGTGGGAGCATGGTGATGATTGCAAGTGAATCAGCCAGTTGAGCTGAGTGAGTAAATTATTAAAATGATCTTCATAAACTTACCAGTAATACGTTACTCTGCACAAGGTACATTGGATAAATGCTGGTTTCTGACAGAGTTCGCATAAAAGTTTAAGCCCTTTAGGGTTTGAGAGGGGATTCAGTGTCATATTTGTCAGATCTCGCCAATATTTGGTTTACAATAAATGAACTATCTACAAAAACTCTAAAAGTCGGCCATTATTGTTTACATCTGTTGTTAGCGTGATTGCGCATGAACAGAACATGGGGAGCAAACTCCAGTTCAAAAATAAGGATTGAGACGAGTAATTTTCTCTCCATTGACTTCAATGTTAAGCCAACCACATTTCTTTGTCTATAACATTTTGTTGAACATTCCGATGATCTTAATCTTTATAATCATAAAGAGACCAACATGTCATAATCATCTGATAACAATGTCGAAGTGAGGTGATCATCTCGATTTTTTACCGCGCCTGGTACGTCAAACGAATATATTATAAAAAATCATGAATATTCACCCAAACCGCGCACTGAACGTAAATCCAAACACACTTCTTCTAGCCTTGACCAAAATTCAACAAAAACTTCATATGCAAAAGACTAAAAAAAGCGAAATGAAAGAATTGTTACAAATAGACGAACTACATATACATGAAATCGGGCGAACCAATTAGGCCTACTAATATAAGTCCATGGGAATGATCCTGCGGAAAAAAGGAAATATACGCCATTAATACGTAATATTACTAATATAAAATTTCTTTCTAGATATGCAATGAAAGAATTTGTATCTATTATATTTGAATGAATTACATTAACGACAAAATTAAGTATTTGTAACCACATACATTGGCTGCAGAAAGAGCGTACAGGATGATTTCAAATGGTTGTTTATCCCCTTTTCATAATATGCATGTTAAATGAATGAAATGAAATGGATTTCTTTCATAGGACCCCTATGGACATAACTCACAGACTAGGCTATTCATGACCCTCAACCTGTGCAATTACTGATATGATTAGTTACTTAAACATACATAATGCAAGAGCTAAATCTGCCTATTGCAGGTCTTTTTTTAGGTCTGAAATGTTATCTAAATTATTAATTAGACATTAATTAACTGATCCAGGCCATAATCAACACTCGATGGCATCGGATCTCTCCGATATTAAATAGATTAAAACGGTTCAGACATATTTTGATTTAATCTAAAAATGGAGAAGCGAAACTTAGCTTCGAACAACCAGCATGGTGGTTGAAATTATTGCACACGTCTTGTCAAACCTTTAAAGGCTAATATCTTCGCTCGCAATAGAGTAATTTGAATGAAATTTTCAAATTATTCATTTTACATGATTTATTTTCGAACTATTATAGCAAGAATGGCTAGCTCTTAATCTAAATCTTACATAATGTATCTTTAAGCCAAATGATGCAATCAGTAAATTTCCAATCACGTGTGATCTGATGATATTTTTTAACACATAGAACCAGTTGTGTTTAGTGGGATATCAAGGTCGTTTATCCTGTCTCTAAAAAGTTGTAAGGTATGATCACGGGGCACATTTGTGAAGAGGTCCACTACATCATAGGAGATGATCTTACAGTTGGAGTTTACCTGTCTTTTTTTCTTACAGAATTCACCAGAGTCTTGTATAAATGATTCGGCGGTTTTCCCTAAAGGTGACAGGAGCTTGGAGAGGTATTGGGAGGTATTGTAGTAAACTGAGTCCCTGGAGCAAATAAGAAGTCGGGCCTTGACTGGGTCTTTGTGGGTCGCTCTAGCATATGGTGGCACAACTCTCAGCACCGACAGTATTATAGAACTCATAAAAGTATGTATTTTCTCCACCTATTGTAGATTTCTATGAGCAGATCCTTGGCTTACCCATGGGTAGCCCCCTCTCACCTTTGGTATCTGAAGTATTCATCACGTCCCTGAAACAAGAATCGCTAAAGACATCCGCCATCAAACCTGTCGTCTGGTATCGGAAGGTGGACGACACCTTTGTTGTGCTCAAGAAAGATGATGACCCCAACTGCCTCCTGCAACATCTCAACAGCCAGACACACAGAATTAACTTCACCATGGAAGCTGAAGAAGATGGTACTATTAAATTTGGTTACCAAAGATGGAGACAACCTTAAAACGTCAGTGTATCGTAAACCCACTCATACAGACCAATATATTAATTTCAAGTCAAATCACCCATTGAACATTAAGAAGTCCATTGTGTCAACCCTCACTAAGCGTGCCACCACCATATGTCAGGAAGATTCATTAGCTACAGAATTAACACATTTACGCAAAGTCCCCACCGAATTTAATAATTACCAAACACAATTTGTTAACCAAGCCATCAGAGAAGTAACCAACGACAAAGATAAAAATCCTAAACCTGCTAAACTGGCTACGAGTGGTATAAGGGTATCCATCCCCTTTACTGATACAAGATCGCACCAAATTAGAAGATTACTTGTACACTGAAAAAAAAACTTGTGTTGGATCTCAACACAAGTACTTGTGTGAAAATTATTCTACACAAGTGATGTGTTGTTTTGCATTGCATTAACACAAACTTGTGTTCTTTTTAATGCATTAACACAAATCTTGTGTTTTTTCCATATAATTAACACAAGTAATGTGTACCGTCAACAAATATTTTTTTTTTTAAATTTGAACTCCATACAAAGTCTTAATCCGGGGGTCCACAAGTAAGAGAAAGGTATTTTTTACTCAGACAATATAGCCCGACAGACTTGAATGCTAATTGGTGTTAAGATGTCTGTAGTTAAAATAAAGTTGGGCCCAATAAACTGGTAGATCAAAGGCCTGTTGAGCGCTCATGCCCGGTGTGATTTTAACAATTGACTCCAAATGCGTTGACAAGAAAATAAGTAAAACTGTTATTGAATGTGATTGGTTGATAAAATCAACGTACTATAGGCTACATTTTGTCTGCGATATCATCTCGGTGGAAGCGGACATTAAATGAAGTGATTTCACACAATTAATTTAACATTTAACAACGTGCTGAAATGATTTTGGAGCAGTGATATGTTTGACAAATGTAAGCTAATGGTCACATAGAATACAAGACCGCGGGTTTGTGAATATTTATATAAAAAAAATAATACCATGTATGTAATTTGGCATCGATATTGTTTCTCTGTATAATATTAGTATTTCGTTTCCTTAAAAAAAACTCCAACAATTTAAACCGGAAGTTCATGTTTATAATATGGCGCGGTCAGGAAAAAAATTTCGGCATGTTATTATCAAATCTGTTCAATTTTTCTGAAATCATGCTTAATTAACATTAGTTGTTCGGCGCTACGATGTTGTTCAAATACTTACATTACAGAATCACATTATGATTAAAGCAGAAACGGCTCGACTTGAACCAGCAGGTAAGAATCTGTTTTGAAATTATATCTTGGGAGGTTGGATTGGCGTTGGAGACCCGATTGGCGGCCATTTTGATTCTCGTTTCATGATTTTTTTTATATTATAACGATTTTGCCAAGAGTAGACATAAACGCGGGCACAGACTAGAAAAAAATCTTTTTACACTTTTGTGTTAGTTGAATTGTAATCTAATTTATGTTTAAAAAAACAACCTTAAATCTAATAAGCAGACGGAAGATATGGAGGAACAACAAGAAGAAGTTATGGAGTCCTCCATCTCAGACGATGCCGACGTTAGTGTCTTCTGCGACGAAGAACCCGTAGTGGTGTATCACTATAAACCTCAGAATGCCTCGTTCGGCATTTCTGTCCAAACGAGGCAAAAACGTGTCAAAATTTTTGCCCCGATTTTGCCTCGTTGTAACGAGGTAAAAAAAATACCTCGTTTCTCTGGAGTTCCAAAACGTGTTTTTTTTAAAATTACCCTGTTTTTGGAACGAGGTATTTTGTTCAGAACGAGGCTGGGTAAAATTGCCTCGTTTACTAAACGAGGTATTTTATCCAAGATAATTATTAGCGGTATTTGCTGTCAACAAATAGAGCCATACAAATAATGTTCGGACCATCATGTGACCAATTGCAGATCTACAAATTAGATTATTTATTTGGGACATGATATTGTTCATAGTTATGGCTTACTACACTGGAGTTCTATTATGTATAATAAACGCTTCCCAAGCGAAACAAAACATAACAATGTCACGTGACAATATTACATATGGCGGATACAAGCGTTCTTTGATTACATGCTGTTTGGTTTGATTATTAAATAATACGGCAATCTGTATATATGGGAAAAGGAGAATGAATTTCCCCAAATCCAAAACTAGATGACTGGAATATTTATTGAATGGAAAGTAAATATTTTATAAACAAAAATATTCGGATTTGCAGTATCCTAGCTTGGATGGATTTGTGATTTGAATCTCGAACTCAGTGTTTTATACATTTTATTATAAAATTGTAATAAATGTTTTACATGAATGAATAAAATCTACAATTTAAAACAGTACAATAACATTGTGATTTGACGCTCTACAAATCACTAAGACTATAACAATTGCTTGTTGAAAAAGCGTTAATAATATGTTTTTTTCCATTTATTATTTTTTAAAAATATATTCAAAAAGAATGCGTCTTTTACAGATTTCAATATAACCACAAATGGTTGATTGTTTTAATGCTAAGATAAGTATTAATGGTTTGTATTTGAAAATCAAATTATATAAGCGAAAAATAGTAAGATACATTATGTATATCTTAAAACACGCCCTTCTCAGTTACTACTTCGGCGAATATCGTTTGATAATTTAGATGATCAGAATTAAACACCGTTTTGCTATGTTATTATTTTTTTATGATTGGGTGGGGGTATACTTAATTAGGGGATTGGATTGAAAGATTATAGCTACCATCTTATGGAGACATAATGTGTGGTGCATTTACGGTCTTATAAAGCTCTATTCTTACATAAAGAATTCTTGATTCGCACGGAAGTGTTTTAGCCGTGATCATTTTAAGTCATGCTTATGCCAAGATCTGGGTAAGTGTTAATTTAACTAGATATCAGAAAAGTACCACGTTTTCATAAATGTACTCTTTAGATAAATTGTACAATATTTATCAGTTCACTAGTTACAATAAAATCATGCATTATAGCTATTTTTATTTATTTATCCCTGGTGCTTCAAATTCAATTTAGGGTGCCTCAACATATTTAAAAATATGTTTTAAAGCTTTAGGCCATTTTATTATATCTTTCTACCATAAATAATAGCCCGAATTTAGGTATACCAAAAGTTAAAGAAATATAAACAGTTTTTGAGTCATTCAGATATGACTGCCAAAATTGTCACCAACACACATGTCGTGTTTAGGCTAAAATCTAACCAGAAAAGTATTGTCAATACATAATAAAATATATATTGCATTAATCAATTCCATTCCGCAATTGGTTTGTCTTAAACTCGTCATTTGTGTTCATGGGCATCAGGGTCGAGATGGCAACGTTATATGTTTTATTCGTCTAATTTACTATAAAACATCATTCGGTTTGCCTCACGGGTTAACGGCATATTAATAGCTTTATTCACTGAGATGGTTCCTTTACTTATAGTTTATTTTTCGAATTGCTTTTTGTATTTATTTAAATGGAAATATTAACAACATTCTATAAGTCAATCCACGAACATACCCAATTTCAATATTTGCGTGTTGACCTTTAACATCACACTTAGATCCTGTACGCTTTGTGTCTTACAGTCAATACATGTCATGAAGAACTCTTGAGACATAATTTCGTTTATAATACTTTACTCGTTTCTATTGAGTTGTTTAGCAGAAGTAACACATGACAACAATATGTTGAGACGACTACGTAACAGATAAGGACGATTCAATGTTATTAAAATGACACAATGACAATTTTAATTTTATTACCAACCCTTTCACAATATTTGAATGAAATATCTCACACAGGGTGTTAATCTGTTTTCAGTTTCTATTCCAATTCAATAAAACATTTAATACATGTCTTGGCTTGATTCATTATTTACAATTTAATACGTTAATCGTGTATTTTAAATAATACAGTTCAAGAGATCAAAACATTTCCGAATTTATACATTCAACATTACACGTAGACCTAAATGTATTTTTCAAATACGTGTATAAACATTTATATGAAATATATTATAAACAGATATGCTATGACCAGAGTTGCCATTATCTTTATTATTCGACTGGAAAACTCCTGTCATTCACTCTGTCGTTCGACTGATCCATCATTCACGTTGTCATTTCCGAGTCTGAAATTTGGGGTATAGGGGTAGCTCGGACCGGGGAGTAACATAGGCCAGGTGGCGTTAGTCTACCACTTCCGGTTCCGGAGTTATGACCCCCGAGCGAAGCCGGGCATTCTTCTAGTATATAAATAAATATATAAATAAATCATCTTCATGGTCATCATCATCGTCACCATCATCGTCATCATCACTATTTAACACCAATCATCGTCGCCTGACAATTACCTTATCTATTCAAAGCGCTTGTTTAGTTTTAAATACTTGTGAACTTTACTAAAACTCACTTTGTTGAACGGGTTACTTTCGTTGGTATCGCCATATAGGAACGCTTTTGTATTTATGGATTTAAATGGGAGGGTATTTAATGTTGAGATACGCTGAGACGAATAATTTGGGCAGTACAGAAAATAATGGTCGCTGTCTTCTTGAGTATGACTACAACTGCATGTTGGGTTATGTGAAATATGCATTAAAAATCTATGGAAGTTTAGAGCACTTTTACAATTACGAAGTCTGGAATGTATAATCTGAAATTTACGTTCTCCATAGTAACATCTTACTGACATCAATAAATACAAAAATATGACTAAGTCGAAAGTCAACAAGACGGTATACAAGCCAAAATGCAAGTCGAAAATAAGAAATTAGGAAAAAAAACGAGGGGCGCTATTATCGCAGTGTATTATTTCTTGATTTCCTTTTTTCGAGTCGATTTTGGCTTGTATAGCGTTGCTGTCGCCTCACATTTTGTCGTAACTGCTACTTTTCGACTTTCGTGTTTTGGAGGGCGAAAAGTAGAAATTAAGAATGGTAGGCTTCTATAGTTAGGCGTTTGTATATATGACTGTATACTTGACACATGTACGACCTGAATGGCTGAATGGCCGGTAACCAAATATGTTATTGTGAGTGTTAAACGACATCGTAATTATTTTATATTTTGCAAAAAAAAACAAACAACAAAAAACAAAACAAAAAAACACAAGCCGTGATTGCCATTACTACAATACGGATTACTAAATATACTTTGTGTTCAATTTTATATTTTAATACTGAAGACAGGGCCGGACTATAAATGAACAAGGCGGATCCTTTTGGCTTATATTGAGTAATTATTGCAACGTGTTACAGTTGAAAGTTCCAAAGCATTTTCACATTCCATGTCCGATAAATTTAATCATCATGCAACTACTGATTGGTGGGTCGTCGAAACATTTAGATGCATACATCACAGCACCGTGGTTTAGACAACTTGCAATTGAACTAGTTTTATTGTTGTACACATAATGAAAGAAACTGTGTTATTTCACAGCTGAATTCTATGGTAAGAACCGTAGAACCACCTTGTAGGGAATAACTTTTAAACTTTAACACCCTATACACACTCTGCCAGCGGCATCTTTGACCCACACTCTCTTAACATTAATCCAAACTTTAAATCTTTCAACGGTTTAACAAGAAGGTGCTAAATATTTTCATTTAAATAAATACAAAAAGCAATTCGAAAAATAAACTATAAGTAAAGGAACCATCTCAGTGAATAAAGCTATTAATATGCCCTTAACCCGTGAGGCAAACCGAATGATGTTTTATAGTAAATTAGACGAATAAAACATATAACGTTGCCATCTCGACCCTGATGCCCATGAACACAAATGACGAGTTTAAGACAAACCAATGGCGGAATGGAATTGATTAATGGAATAAAATATTTATTATGTATGGACACTAAGTTTTATGGTTAGACTTTAGCTAAGTGAAAATGTTTGTCTGGGCAGCGACACTATGGCCTACTCTTATACCGAATTCAAAGTTAGTGTTAGTTGTATTTTACGTCCGCTTCCACCGAGGTGATATCGCAGACAATGACGTGTTATGTGTACAAGGTGCATTAATTTACAATGTGATTAGTGAGAAATATTAGGATGGTTAGGTTTTCATATATATGTACATAGGACAATAAACAACAGTAGGATAACATGTGCAAAGGACGAAACAGGTGCCAGTAGACATTTACAAACATGCGATTTGACGGAACAGACATGGACAAAGACGGACATTTTCACAGACATAGACATATTATGTACATATATATATATTTTGGGTCGATTGGGTTGGTCTGGTCGTTCTGTCCGGTAGAATGGCAGGGCGGTGCAACTCTACCTTGGGGCTTTGTTGGTGAGTTTGAGTCCTGGTCCATTCTTCCTTCCATTTGGGTATGTTGTCCGGTATGGTAGCGTTTTTACATCTTTATTTATGTTATTCATTCCTTTTATTGTTGGTTCTCTGAAGGAAGAATCCAGCACCTGAAAAAGAAAGCTAGAGAAAAGAGAGTATCTGATCTTACTGTGATTTTTTGGTTATTTCGTCTAGTAAGGCTTCGTGGGGGGGGGGGGGGGGGCGGGGAATCATTTTAAACTAATAATAAAAATAATAAGTGAGAGTAAAAGAAAATAGAGTGTTAACTTAATTGCAGATAAATAATAAGAATAATAAATAGATATTAATGGTAATAATGAGAATAATAAATTACTCATGAATTATGTTGATGGTAGATTAGTGGTTTTATTATAAATGTAGGGAGGTTTACGCTTCCTTCTAGAGGACATTTTTGCGCTCCATCCTACTGTTGATTAATTGGTTTTATTAGTTGGTAGATTAATGGTTTTATTATAGATGTAGGGAGGTTTACGCTTCCTTCTAGAGGACATTTTTGCGCTCCACCCTACTGTTAATTGATTGGTTTTATTAGTTGGTAGATTAGTGGTTGTATTATAGATGTAGGGAGGTTTACGCTTCCTTCTAGAGGACATTTTTGCGCTCCACCCTACTGTTAGTTGGTTTTATTAGTTGATTTATTAATTATATCGGAGTTATATTAGTTGTGTAGGGCGGTTTACGCTTCCTTCTAGAGGACATTTTTGCGCTCCACCCTACTGTTAAATGATTAAATTCATTATTTTATATATATCGGAGTTATATTAGTTATGTAGGGCGGTTTACGCTTCCTTCTAGAGGACATTTTTGCGCTCCACCCTACTGTTAACTGATTAAATTCAGTATTTTATATATATCGGAGTTATATTAGTTGTGTAGGGCGGTTTACGCTTCCTTCTAGAGGACATTTTTGCGCTCCACCCTACTCTTTAATTGATTACATTATATATTTGGTCATCCCTATGTTCTCAATAAAATCCCAGACAAGTTGTGATGTCCAGTGTCTATCGTCGGGTTGTGGAGAAAGGAGTGATTTGAGACAGAGGGTGTTTCCCCTCTCTGCTAGATTCTTAATTACAGACTGACGTTCTTTGCTCAATTGATTGCAGTCAATTAGCAGGTGAGACGTGGTCGCGATTTGTCCACATGGGCATTTAATTGGATTGAAGGTGAAGTCTTTTATTACGTTTATCGTTTTAAGCCTCGTGATGAGTTTGCATATTTTGATTGATGGATGATTGGTGTAAACCTTGTCTACAAGATTGCTATCAATTTGATAGCGATGAGTATTCTCTTGTTTTAGACGGGTTTTCCATGCACTTTTAATTTTATCTTTGGCTATGCTTGTGAATTCTTGAGTGCTGTATTCTAAATTTTCTATATCAGTTAATGCCAACCCTTCCTTGGCTAGCTTGTCAGCCTGTTCATTGCCGAAGATATTGATGTGGGAGGGGATCCATGCAAGGACTCCCTCTCTTCCGTTATTCTTTATTGTTTGAATAATATACCTAATTTGGTGGATTATGTCCTGTCTGCTTTTGGAATAGTCTGATTCGATGGATTTAATGCTACTTAGGGAGTCTGATAGGATAACGGCTTTTTGGTGTTTTTGGGTGGCAAGCCATTCTATTGCAGTTTTGATGGCCATCAATTCTGCGGTGTACACAGAGCAATGTTCTGGTATCCTTTTCTTGATGTTTAGCTTTGCTTTGGGGATGAAAATGCCGTACCCTGTTAGTCCCTGTGTATTATTTTTCGACCCATCTGTATAGATTTTAATATAGTCTGCCCATTTTGTGTCTATCAGCTCTAGTGTTAGTGCTCTAGCCTCTATGGGATTCTCGTGTTTGTTTGTAACGTTGATTAGGTGCGTATTGATGATTGGATTGCTTAATTGCCAGGGTGGAGTGACGGGATAAGTTTTTGTTTCTATTATTGTCCCTTTTAAACCGTGTTTATTTAAGACATCGTTTGACATTTGCCCGAATGTCATAGGACGCGTATTTTTCCTATAGCCTATTCGTTTGAATTGTTGGAGGCACTTATATGTCGGACATTTTTCTTTTAGCATTTGGAGTTTGCCCCAATACTTGAGTGAACCGAATTCAAACTGCCAAGAGAACTTTTATGTGTACGCCAATGTGTACATTGGATCTCAGGGGAAACCACTCTGCAAAATCAAGATGAGCTTTCTCGGTCAACCCCAAGAGATAACCTGTGGCCTCCATGCTAGTGTGCCAGCACCTAATTTACTCAGTCACCATGGCCGTCTTCTAATTACTGCGACAGTGAAACCATGTGACAAACAAGGATTATTAAGATAGACTTTTACGGCTAGGTAGTTCCTTGGGATTAAAACTTTTGATACATATAGATACATTAGTTTCAATTTCATATCACACAGTTTGTATATATGGTAAGGTAGCTTTAATCGTAAATTACATATCATGTATTTATTTTTTCAGTTTCAATATTGGATGTATATGCAAATCACCCAGAAAAAGATCATGTAATAACAAAAGAAATTATAAAAGAAAAAAAGGAAGAAGAAATGGCTGGAAAAAATGATGATAGAGCAGCTTTTTCTTGGTGGGTAACTATTAAATTCTAATAGAAAAGATTGTTATGCTATTTTGAAATCTAAAATTCAGTTTAGTATAGTAAAACTGTACACGTCATGTATGAGCAGAGACAGAATCTTAGTTATATGTAGATATCACTGTCTCATCTGTGGCAAAGCAAACCAACACATGAAACAAAACAAATGTAATTAAAGTAACATTTTTTTAATTGATCAAAACTGTCTAGTCAATTTAAGCCAACTAATACATTGCCATTTTTTTTTCAGTTACCCACCTCGGAAGATCAAGTTGAAAAGGGCTATTGATATTGTGGAGACGTTTTCTCACAGATCTTGCTTATCAGACAAAGACTATGTAAGTACCATGCATATTTGCTTTTTAAATCAGGAACTGGTTCTATACACTTGGTGGGGGGGGGGGGGGTTGGATGGACGTTAAACCCCATTTCTCTCTCTCTCTCCTAAATATTGAGATTTTTGTTTACTTTTAAACTGCATATATTCAAGGTATCAGGAGCTTTTTATGGCTCCCGTACAATTTTATAAACATGAAGGACTGTACCTTTTGAATATTAAGCCATCAAATTATTTTATAATTTTGAAAATGAAATGAAATGGGGTTTAACATCCTACTGTTTTGCTCATAAATTGGGCTAATGAAGATGGGCATACGCCATACAGTGTGCTATGAAGGGAATTTTGCCCGGGCAGCGGCGCTACAGCCTACTCTTATATCGAATTCCAATTGCCAAGGAATCTTTTATGTGCACGCCAATGTGTACATGTATGTGTATTTTTACAGTAAATAGCAGTAAAATAATGATGGACAGTATTTTACTTTCAAATAGATTTCAGTAGATTTTAAAGGGTAATATCCAATTTGTTGTCAATGGAAATAAAATAAGAATGGGTCCAAAAATAATTAGACATTACGCAGAGTTGAAACCAAATAGAGACTCGGTCTCGATGTGGCAAAAATAAATTGTTTATTTAAACGTTGTGAACCATAGAAAGTATTCTTATCTCCTACTTTTTATTTTTTAGGCTGGAACACCATTGAAAGAGTATTTGCTGTATGATAACAACAAGAAAACCCAAGCATCAATTTATTTTATACTTCTGGGAAAGAATGCATTTGACCCAATTTTTAAATATTTATTTTTTGTTATTAATGTTAAATTTTCTTCCAAAACACAATTAGATTTTAATTCTCTTCAGAAATGTATGTATAATATAGCAAGTAAAGTGGCATATAAATCACTTAGAATTTGGTCAGAATCATAAAGTATTTAATAGGCATTACTAGAAACCAAATGTAGATCAAATACACCCAGAATTACAAAAAACCTTGACCTACATAAAGGTGACTTTCCCTTGCTTATGAAATGAAATACGGTTTAGTATCCTACTTTTCTGTGTTCTTAGAGTGATTCGACCCTACACCCTACTCTTATATCAAATATTTAAACTGTCAAGGGTTCTTTAACGGGAACCCGGGGGGGGGGGGGCAATGATTAACACGCACACATTTGATCGGGAAGTCTGTCATTGAGTCAAATAATTCAATTGTCAAGGCTTCTTCTAAGTGAACGCAGTGGGGATGGTTTGGATTCCGGGAATGGGGGAGGGGGTGGTGGATGGCCGAATGGTAAGCATGTGCGTGCGGTATCATACAGCCTGTCATTGAGTCAACTGGCGTGGTTTCGAATCCCCGGTTGTACGTGACAAGGAGTAGGGTCGCCTGTCCAATCTTGTGGGTTTTCTACGGGACCTACGGTTTCCTCCCACTGCTAAAGACCCCTATGCGCAACGAATTATTGAAATAAAATTAAACCATATGTTAATCCCGAAATGACCTAGTTTGTGTCAAGTGGACGTTAAACCCCATTTCTCTCTCTCTCTCTCTTTTGATTCCGGGCTTGTACCCAATTATCCCTTGCCATATCCAAGACTACTGACAAGTGGGAACTATGCCGGAAAATCCAGTTGAAATTTCTCGGCCAACACCTTATACTCACTGAACCACTGTGGCTTATGACTTGTGATTGTATATAAATGTTTTGTACATATGAAATTTTTTTATTTCAATCCTGTAATCTTGATGCTTTGCTTCTTTTATTTACAAAATATTCATTTTGTTTGGGGTTTTTTAATGAGGAAAAGGTTTTACATCATTTTATTACTCCTGCAAAATAGTGCATTTTTCTTTTGTTAGTTTTCTGTGTATATTAGTTATTTCTATATGTCTCACAAATCACTTGTAGTGTGATTTTGTAGCACTTTTCAGTTTTTGAAATTGTTTCAATTTAGTGCATAATTAATCTTAGTGCTTGGTTTGGATGTTATTAAATTTAGATATTATTTGAATTATATATTTTGGAGTATGGGGTAGGGATACTGTGTACATATCTTTATATTCTCAGTTCTTGTTTTGGGGTAAAGAACAATTTATATAGCTATTTTATATTTTGTGATAGGTAAAGTGTGTGGGGTTAAGAACAATTTAAATAGCTATGTTATATTTTGTGATGGGTAAAGTGGTGTGTGTGTGTGTGTGTGTGTGTGTGTGTGGGGGGGGGGTCATTATATATAACACAATATAATTAGTATTAGAATTCTCTGTTTTTCTGTTAACATTTCAAATATCTATTTAGTTTTGATGTATTAATTTACTTTTTCCAATGATTTTATGAATAAATAATAATCTTACAAAAACAAAAACAAATTTTGTTTCCTTCTTTTATCAAACTTTACAGGTCTAACAGAGCAAAGAGATGGGTCCTGCATAAAAAGGTTGCTATACTGTATATAAATTGGGGAAAAACACAAAACAAGTTTTTGTGGATGGTTATACACAAGTTTGTATGAAACCACACAAGTTTCAGAAATTTCAACACAAGTTTCAGAAATTTTAACACAAGTTTCAGAAATTTCAACACAAGTTTCAAAAATTTCAACACAAGTTTCAAAAATTTCAACACAAGTATTGTGTAGATTTTCACACAAGTTTCAACACAAGTTTGTGTTGTTTGATAAATTTTAACACAAGTTTTGTGTTGTTTCAACATTTAACACAAGTTTTGTGTTGTTTCAACACAAGTTTATGTTGTTAAATAGAGACACCTTACTTGTGTTGAAAACAACACAAGTTTGTGTTGTTTCAACACAAGTTTTTTTTCAGTGTAGCACTATGGCCCTTGTGACAATTTTGGCTCTTTATAAAATTGTCTCTTCAATTTGGTCTATAAAGAGAAATCATAAGTACTAAATGAACGTGGTTATAGTTGTTCGTAAAAAACAGTGATGTTTTAGTTAAATTATAATCATTGTCAAAATAGTCATCAAATTCTAGCTGTTTATTGACCTATGGTCGGTTGACCAAAAATAGGTAATGTTGCCTGTCTTGTTTGTGGGAAATATAGAGTTTTATTCCTTATATGGCGTGGAAATTCACGTCAAGGTTATTGAAGACCTGGAAAAAGTAGGGGGTATAAATTAGGGTGTAGAGGAGAGCTAGATTAGAGCTCACCCAGAAATTCTTACCAGTCATTATATATTTGAGAACGAGGAACCTGCAAAGTTATTTCCAGTTTACTAATAAAGCTGTGAAATCATTGTTGCTGTAGTATTATTTACGATCACAAGGAACACAACAAATAAAGAAGTCCGGTAGTACTACAGTATTCATTTGGTGCTGTGATTCCAGAGGCAGATAGAATTAGACAAATTATTATTGTGAGTATCTCTTTTTCGATTTTTCACTAATTTCTATCTGTAATAATGGCTGAGGAATTTTATAGAAATTTAGGTGCCCAGTTGATAGGCTTGTCTTCCTCTATTTCCACAAATTCGGTAGCGAATATAATTGAACCATATAAAGGGGATCCCAAACTATTTAAGGAATGGATCAAAAATATCGAAAAATACTGTGTTCTTGCCACAGTGCCTGAAGACCGGGTAAAGTTAGTTGCATTTCAATCTAGTAGGGGGGTTGTGAGTCATTTTATTCAAAGCAAAATGATAGCAGACGAGAATCTTACGTGGGCTGCTTTAAAACAAGATTTAATTGGTACTTTTTCGGAAATTACGGATACACAACAAGCATTGGCAATATTAACAAAAATCAAACAGAAACCCGAGGAAAACGTGCAAGTTTTTGCTGAAAAAATTCTATCGCTAGCCGCTGACGCATTCCCAGGATATGCCGGACAGCGGGAATTTGACAGGCAACTAATTAATTTCTTTGTAGATGGACTTCAGCACGAAAATCTCAAAACAAAAATTTTACGGGACGACCCGCAGACGTTCACCGCAGCCGTAGATTTGGCCAGTGCCGAACAAAATATTAGGAAAAGATTTGCGTTAAGATTAGGCGGGCAACACGCACAGGTATATACAAATAGCGCACATGAACCCATGGATGTCGATTATGTAAGAAACCGCACGTGTGGAATATGTTTTCGTCGTGGTCATGTAAGTCGTGAATGTCGACAAAGACGAGGCGTAAACGAGGTTAAGGCGAGTTTTCAGAGAAATTTGACTTGTTGGTTTTGTGGCATAGAAGGACATTTTAAACGTGACTGTAAGGAATTTGCTGACTATCTTAAATCAAATCCAAAATTTAAACGACGAGATACATCAGTTAAACCTAAAACACTACGAAAACGGGAAAACTAAGATACTCTTTTCGGGCGGCCTACGGAAGGGGTAGATATCAAAGGCCTTTGTCTGGTGTAAATGTTTCTGGCTCTTCTAGTTCGTGTTTGATTAAAATAGAAAAACGAAATTTTCGATCATTAGTTGACACTGGGGCTCAAGTTTCTTTAATTAGTAAACAGGTGTATGATTCTTTAAAATATAAACCAAAACTGGACAAAAGTAAAATCATATTGCAGTCAGTAAATGGTATTGAACTCAAATTGGTAGGTTCTGCACACTTGGAATTTAAAATTAAAGGTAAAAATTTAAGACATGTGTTTCATGTTGTTTCCAATATGAATAGAAATGTAATTTTAGGTCGAGATTTTCTTGTTTCGCATGACTGTAGGCTTTTCTTTGAATTAGGATGTATGAAAATAGGTAAAATGTATGTTTCCTTGGATAATGACGCAGTGATATCTTCTGTTTTGCGAGTAGCAAACTAGGTAATTTTAAAACCTCAGACAAGGTATGTCATTAATGTGAAATTGAAGAAACATAGTTACGATAGTGGGCAAGATTTATTCATGGTTGAACAAGCAAGTAAACGGTTTGTGAGTAGTGAACCAGGACTTATGGTCAGCAATTCATTGTTCAGCATGAAACGTGCTAAAAGTTTAGACAGAAGAATCCCAGTTTTTATTGTAAATGGTACGAACAAAACTTTTCGACTAAAAAGCGGGTGTGTTATTGGTCGCGCTGTCGAGGCGATTGACTGTACGATAGCCTCGGTAGATGAGGTTTTACGGGGAACTTCGGGGTGTACTGATGCTAATTTAAATGAAAAATTTGCTAAGATTAATGTGCCAGATACGGAACGAGTTAAGTTATTTAATCTTTTGAGGAAAAATCATGATTTATTTGCTGTAAGTGACTCAGAGTTAGGACATACTGATACTGTAAAAATGACTATTGACACGGGTCACCATTTCCCCATCAAACAACAGGCATATCGTACTCCGTTAACGTCTAGACCTATTGTTGATACGGCAATTGATGAGATGTTACGTAATAATATAATAAAAGAGAGTAATAGTCCTTGGTCGTTTCCTATTGTCTTAGTAGATAAGAAAGATGGAACAGAAAGATTTTGTGTTGATTTTCGGAAGCTTAATAAAATCACTAAAACTGTTAGTTGGCATTAACACAAATCTTGTGTTTTTTCCATATAATTAACACAAGTAATGTGTACCGTCAACAAATATTTTTTTTTTTAAATTTGAACTCCATACAAAGTCTTAATCCGGGGGTCCACAAGTAAGAGAAGGGTATTTTTTACTCAGACAATATAGCCAGACAGACTTGAATGCTAATTGGTGTTAAGATGTCTGTAGTTAAAATAAAGTTGGGCCCAATAAACTGGTAGATCAAAGGCCTGTTGAGCGCTCATGCCCGGTGTGATTTTAACAATTGACTCCAAATGCGTTGACAAGAAAATAAGTAAAACTGTTATTGAATGTGATTGGTTGATAAAATCAACGTACTATAGGCTACATTTTGCCTGCGATATCATCTCGGTGGAAGCGGACATTAAATGAAGTGATTTCACACAATTAATTTAACATTTAACAACGTGCTGAAATGATTTTGGAGCAGTGATATGTTTGACAAATGTAAGCTAATGGTCACATAGAATACAAGACCGCGGGTTTGTGAATATTTATATAAAAAAAATAATACCATGTATGTAATTTGGCATCGATATTGTTTCTCTGTATAATATTAGTATTTCGTTTCCTTAAAAAAAACTCCAACAATTTAAACCGGAAGTTCATGTTTATAATATGGCGCGGTCAGGAAAAAAATTTCGGCATGTTATTATCAAATCTGTTCAATTTTTCTGAAATCATGCTTAATTAACATTAGTTGTTCGGCGCTACGATGTTGTTCAAATACTTACATTACAGAATCACATTATGATTAAAGCAGAAACGGCTCGACTTGAACCAGCAGGTAAGAATCTGTTTTGAAATTATATCTTGGGAGGTTGGATTGGCGTTGGAGACCCGATTGGCGGCCATTTTGATTCTCGTTTCATGATTTTTTTATATTATAACGATTTTGCCAAGAGTAGACATAAACGCGGGCACAGATTAGAAAAAAATCTTTTTACACTTTTGTGTTAGTTGAATTGTAATCTAATTTATGTTTAAAAAAAACAACCTTAAATCTAATAAGCAGACGGAAGATATGGACGAACAACAAGAAGAAGTTATGGAGGTCCCAACAACTGAACCTATGGAAGTAGAAGAATCGTTTACAGCCGAAACCCGATACTATGTGCCAGTTCCAGTCATGGAGTCCTCCATCTCAGACGATGCCGACGTTAGTGTCTTCTGCGACGAAGAACCCGTAGTGGTGTATACGCAGGTAGAAGCTGGTACCTCCCGTGGCAAGTCCAAGTTGTTTGACAACCAAGGGTTTAGTTATACAATTAAGGTAGGGTGATTTATTTTACCTAGTTAACTACCTTGTATAGAAATGTATTTCAGCTACAAAATGTAAAGATAATTAACTCTAGTTAACCTAGTTAACTCTATAATAATAAATGAATTTAATATATTTTAGACAGAGAAGAAAACTACGATTTGGAGGTGTTCCAAAAGAAGCGGACCAACACGATGTCCGGCAACAGTAATCCAAGATGGTGATACATACCAACCAGGCTTAAAGAACCATCTTCACCCAGCAGAGCCCGGTATACACACGGCTACCAAGATAAAAGTTACAGTAGGTTTAAAAATTATATATCAATTAAATTAAAAATTTATATATGTGTGTAAATAAATAAAATATAAATAAACCAATAATATATTTGTAGTTTAATATGTTTTATCTTATCATTACAGGCAAAGCATGAAGCCAAAGGAAATGTTTTTACCAAGTCATGTTCCTCAATAGCGGAGAGAGTTTTATCCAGTGTCGGTTCTGCAGAAGAACCCATTCATAGCAGACCACCCATGGCAGCACTTGTAAGGTCGCTACAAAGAACCCGACAGACTCTGCGACCAAAAGATCCCACTGACGTGTCGTCAAGCGTAAGTACTCATGCAATTAAATACCCATGTATATAAGAATTTATTAACATGTAATTAAATGTACAATTTTATTTATTTATTAACATGTAATTAAATGTACTTTTTTATTTATTTTTGTTTTAGCTTAACGAAGATTTCATCGATCATAGTGCACCGGGATTTTATCAAAAAAGAGTAAAAGTTGGGGAAAGGCGCCATCACATTTTTTGTACTGATAGACAGATGCAACTACTCGCACGCGCAAAAACTTTTCGGGTGGTGAACAAGCCATGGTCTCAGCTGTTTTCCGTCCACGCCTTCATTAAGACTGGAGAGACCACCCGACAGTTACCATTGGTGTTTTGTGTAATGTCGGGTAAAAGCCAAGACGACTATTATAAGGTAAATAGCACTTACTGATTGAATTACTATTAATAGTAAAAAAGGACTATTATTTGGGACCTTGACATTGTCACAAATGGGTCGCACTAACAGCGACATTTGTTTCAGGCATATTTGCAGGGCAGCTGAGAACCAGTATCGCAGCGCAATTTGCGATACATATTTTGTCCGTTGCTAATCAAAAATTAAAATCTAACGTTTTTGATTCGCAGTAACTGCGAATCATTTATATGCCTGTCGTTTTGGATATTGACACGAAGATTTATCCACATTTCTCAACACTTTCAACGTGTATAAAATGTCAAATAAATTTTATAAGGAAAACTGAATTCTACTATACACATAATACAGGGACATAACTCTATGAATTGGGATTATTAAACCGGAAATAGGGAATCAAGTAGTACCACTCATGTTGCAAGACATAACAATTTCGAATAATTATATCAGTATTCAATTTGAACAAAATAAATTCAGTGTATCCCCCACGTATTGCCAATAAAATATAAAAAATAAATACGTGTAAACGTATTGTAAAATGAGAAATCAAAGTAAGAATTCCCGTAAAATATTATTGTCTAGTTAATCGAGATTATTCGTAAAAAACTGCGCGTCCGATTGAAAAAAAATAGTAACACACGATAAAAAGCAGACAAAATTGTTTTCTAACGAAGAAATAATAATTAAAATGAGTGGGACTTCGGAAGCCACTGCCAAGAATTGGCTTCAGACATAACCAAAAGTCTACATTCAGAAATGTTCACAGCTACCTGTACTGTAGCAGTGCTAAAATTCTAAAAATCTTAAGAATGAAATCTAATCATTTGTTATAAATTAAAGTAATCTTGTTATTTAGGTGTTTTATGTTGAAACCGAAAAACTGCTAATCAATTTTTAAATTTGCTAATCAAATTTGGCAAAATTGGACTTTTTGATTAGCAGTGCTGCTAATCATTTGTGAAAAATTACCGTCAGCCCTGTACAGCACCAAAGATTTTTATATCCACTGTCAAATTTGGCAATAAAATCCGAATCAATATATAACGAATTATAACTTGAGGCATTCCTTCATTAAAATGTGAATTATTGTACATATATATTATATTCATGTTTTATTATTATGTTTTCTTTTATCAAAACATTTATTTTAGAGTATTATCTAGGATACTTGGATTTACCAAGATACTTGTATGTAAATATATATTTTGTTTGAAATTATGAATATTAATTATGATTGCGTATTAATTATCCTTCAGTTTATATATATAACTTTGACATTGATGATCAGTTTATTTTTTTAAAGCTTGTGAGGACACAAAGCTAAAGGAGCAGAGGGAGTAATGTAATAGTTAGTGTTTTATCATATATTTTAAATCTTATAATCCCTATTGTTGTTTTAAAGATTATTCTAAACGCTACCTTAATTAGATGAATTCTGGTATAAGCTGTATTGGAGTATTAGCAAGTATTGTGAGGGCAACGTCTTAAGTTACAAACAATAAACATTAATTAGTGTTTAACTAAATTGGTTGCTATAAACTAGTTGCTAGGAATACATAATGTAGATATAAAAGGGAAGACATCTAGTAGACTCCTCATAAACTTGCTATACATCTAATACAGTGTTTGTTTCCATTTTAAGGTGAGCGTATATTTTGTATATTATTTGTTTTTAAAACTATCGATGCACTCTGTCCAAAGTGAGTAGTTTTATAATTTAAAGATAGGCGTCCTATAGACGAAATAGTGCCTCTACACACCAGCGTAAGAAAGCTCTTACACCCACCCCCAACTTATGTAAATATTAATATGTCATTTTATTTTAATTATATGTTTAATATTAGTATATATATTACTAATACTTTATTTTATGTAATTATATGTTTAATTGTCTTGTATAAATATGATCATGAATTACATATAAGATAAACTTGCTATACATCTAATCAGGGCAGCCGAGAACCAGTATCGCAGCGCAATTTGCGATACATATTTTGTCCGTTGCTAATCAAAAATTAAAATCTAACGTTTTTGATTCGCAGTAACTGCGAATCATTTATATGCCTGTCGTTTTGGATATTGACACGAAGATTTATCCACATTTCTCAACACTTTCAACGTGTATAAAATGTCAAATAAATTTTATAAGGAAAACTGAATTCTACTATACACATAATACAGGGACATAACTCTATGAATTGGGATTATTAAACCGGAAATAGGGAATCAAGTAGTACCACTCATGTTGCAAGACATAACAATTTCGAATAATTATATCAGTATTCAATTTGAACAAAATAAATTCAGTGTATCCCCCACGTATTGCCAATAAAATATAAAAAATAAATACGTGTAAACGTATTGTAAAATGAGAAATCAAAGTAAGAATTCCCGTAAAATATTATTGTCTAGTTAATCGAGATTATTCGTAAAAAACTGCGCGTCCGATTGAAAAAAAAATAGTAACACACGATAAAAAGCAGACAAAATTGTTTTCTAACGAAGAAATAATAATTAAAATGAGTGGGACTTCGGAAGCCACTGCCAAGAATTGGCTTCAGACATAACCAAAAGTCTACATTCAGAAATGTTCACAGCTACCTGTACTGTAGCAGTGCTAAAATTCTAAAAATCTTAAGAATGAAATCTAATCATTTGTTATAAATTAAAGTAATCTTGTTATTTAGGTGTTTTATGTTGAAACCGAAAAACTGCTAATCAATTTTTAAATTTGCTAATCAAATTTGGCAAAATTGGACTTTTTGATTAGCAGTGCTGCTAATCATTTGTGAAAAATTACCGTCAGCCCTGCATCTAATACAGTGTTTGTTTCCATTTTAAGACTTATAACCAGAGAATTTTAGCTTTTACACTATTCTTGAAATTATTTAGAAATAAAGGAAGTATATGGAAATAGATTTCATTGAAACATACATCGTAGTTCACGGTAAAATGTGTAATACAGGATAATTCACCGCGGACCAGTCACAACGATAAGAAAGCTTTCGCGTGAGGAGTGTAGAACCGCGGTGTCACACAACAGCCTAAATATTGACCGGTTCTTTTGCAGGCTACAGACTCCTTCATGCTGTATATGGTTGCTCTTGTTTGTCTTCTGTCTGTGTGATGGATATTATGTGGAACCTACACCGATATATCAAGCATTATGTTTATTTGATCGTGAAACGAAAGAAAAAATATATTGTGATGTCGTGTACTCTTGTTGTGTTTTTGATATTGCAGACTGATGTTATCTGGGACATATTTAACCAACACGTCGTTCTAAGGAACAATCAAAGTACGTACGAACCCATGTCTGTACACGAGGAGGAGTTTTATAATGCACTCTTGAAGCAACACTTTATCGACAGCCATTCGACCCATTTGGAGAGTGAAAATTCCGATAAAACTAATTCAAAATTAGCATGTGTTCACCCCAAATTAGATCCATTTAATCCATTACTTACGCAGTATTTTCACAAACTACCCAAACTACAATGTGCCAAAAAGGGAAATTGGGTATATATCGATAATGGAACGTTCTTCATCTATGCAAATTCACAAAAACTTTACGGCGATATTACGTGTGATATATATCCCCTGTTTCGTAAGGATGATTTTAATACAGTCGAAGGGGAAGTTGTCAAAGATATAAAAAATGGAACCGTATTAAAGGATGACTTTATCCGAGTCGCATGTGAATCAAGTTCGGGCGAGTCGTATACCAACAGACATGCCGGGGTTGCATTTCACCCAGAGTTATATTCACGAACCTCAAATTTAAAACGTCAACCTTTGGACCTGAATGTATTTATTATGGGCCTGGATTCAATTTCACGGATGACATCCATTAGAAAACTTCAGAAATCTAGAGATTATTTTGTAAACGTGTTGAATGGCATTGAATTAGAGGGTTATAATATAGTTGGGGATGCAACCAGAGCAGCAATGTTTCCTATTTTAACGGGAAAGACACCCGATGAACTACCGGAAATACGACACGGTTACCCGGGTGCTACGACCGCTGATGGATTTCCACTTATATGGAAGGAATATAAAAAATCAGGATACCTAACTCTTTGGGCGGATGATGATCCGGGAATTGGATGCTTTCATATGCTAGCCAACGGATTTGCGGAACAGCCCACAGATTTTTACTTAAGACCATTTTTTGTAGCTGCTGATTTTGTGCTCGAATTTAAGTATGGTTTCTTCCGAACTTATCTCCACTCATTTTTAAGTTTATTTATGAAGGATCCACCAGTTAACCTTCCGCTGTGTTATGGATCTAAACCTAAACATCAATATTTCTTAGATTATTTAAAAGGAATGTTTACCACGTATCCAACGAAACGAAAGTTCATGTTTGGCTTTCATGGAGAAATAAGCCACGGTAACAATAACAATGTGGAATATATGGATGAAGATATAGCTAATTTATTTAACTTTTTAAATACAAATGGATATTTAAACGATACGCTATTAATATTCATGGCTGATCACGGATCAAGGTTTGAGACATTCCGCTCAACAGTTCAGGGAAAACAGGAGGAAAGGATGCCTTTATTTGCATTGCGTTTCCCTCCATGGGTTGAAAAAGTTTATCCGGATATAATAAACAACTTAAAAATTAATAGTAAGCGTTTAACGACGCCATTTGATATACATGAAACTTTAAAAGACATACTTTCGTTTAGTGGAACCAAGACAGGTGACCTTTCAAAACGGGGAATAAGTTTATTGAATGAAATTCCACAAGAACGAACATGTACACATGCTGGAATTAAAGTACATTGGTGTGCATGTTTGGATTGGAAACCAGTCCTACAGACCGATCCTGTTTTAGTCCGTTTACTTCACGCAGTTTTATCGAAATTAAACGATATAACATCCTCTCATCGGAGTAAATGTGCTTTACTTGGCTTAAAGCAAGTTGTAGAAATTTTAAAATACAAACCCAACAAAAATATGGTCGAATTTGAGCACGTGGCTTCCAGAACAGAAACATTCTATCAGGTAACTATAGTAACCGTGCCGGGAAACGGTCGTTATGAAACCACTGTGCGACACGACCTGGACGAGGATATACTGATTTTAGACGAACACGATATCAGTAGGACGAATTCTTATGGTTCTCAATCAAATTGTATCGAATTGCGAAAGTTACTGAAATATTGTTTTTGTAAATTAAATAAATTGGTTTGATAAAACAACAAAACTCCAAATGGCCTTTTACATATTCTATTTTAGGTTGCGTGACATAAATATATCCTCCATATAGTATTACAAGTCAAATAGTCAGTATTTAGTTGGGTGTGTAACACTACCTTAGAGATAAGAGACTGTTCACTGTTAACAGGTAGTACTCATAGGTAAAGAACGTTAGTAAAGTAATGAGTTTTTAATTTATTAATAACTGTAGGTGAGACGTCATAATTTATACTATTAGTTTATATTAAAGTGACATATTAAGTTGTATAGCGTCAATAGTTTTTCAGTTAAAATTAAATAGAATTAAGGAATAATACAGGTGTATTCACAACCAGGAAAAAAGTTTAATTTTACATACGCATAATTGTTCTGTTTCTTGCACTGTAATTTTGGTGATCCGTTAACACTTCTTTCATTTCCTCTTTAGAACCATAAGCAGATATGGTTCTAAAGAGGAAATGAAAGAAGTGTTAACGGATCACCAAAATTACAGTGCAAGAAACAGAACAATTCTGAACAGGATTTGAAATAATGTAATGTTAGAAACAGTGAACTTATTGACATTGAAAAAGTGGTTTTTTTTATTGTGTTGGATTTATAACCGAGTATTTATATTGACAGTGGATCAGTGAACTTATATTATTGTAGTATGTTTATCAGTATAATGATATTTTAGAATTAGGACTTAAAATTTTAATGTACATATTCAGAGCTTTTAATTATTGATATTGTATTGTATTTATTGCATGTGACATAATACGCGTTAATTAAGCAACATTGCTTATTTAACGCATTGCAAAGGGGCGTGTTGTAATACTATAAGGTTTATTTTAGCTGTAAGAAAGGTGTTCTGTTTAATATAGAAATTCGTTACCTACATGATGTGTGACGAAAACTAGGGTAATGAAGTAGCTTGCATTATTCTACTACTATCTTAGACTAACTCGCCGACAGTTATGTCAGTATCCATTGCTGGAAGTAGGGTACTATAGTCCAGTTATCTCGTGCACAGAATAATACAATTAACTAGAATAGTATTGACGTAAAACGGTGCCTATACGAAACACTTACCCAAAAATGGTAATTGTCCCGCCCTAATAGATGACGTATTATACGTCCTCTATGGGAGAGAGCTTGTTTAATTTACCCTCAGACCATCATTCAGAGCTCAGGGGAATATGCCATAGCCTCCCCGGCTTAGAGGCTAGGGTGAACACATCATCCTAGCGCGAACCTTATGTAGAACTAGCAAGAAGTATGTGGCTATTGCCATGTTTAGGCCGTTAGATCTGAGTTAGAAAGGATATTAAACCCAGAATGTGGATAATTTAATAACTCGAAAAATACTATCATAACTTTGTAGTTTGCTGTATTTGTTCAATTATATAAACTTAGTAACAACATAAACGGCGTTCCAGAGTCAGTTAATTGATGATTGAAATAATTGATCCCACAACGTGAAGTCGAAATGAAATGGGGTTTTACGTCCTACTGTTCTGCTCCTATGCTGGGCTAATGAAGACGGGCATAAGCCATACAGTGTGCTATGAACGTGAAGTCGAAGAAAGGCCCAGAAGAAAGTGTCACACATCTACCCATAGTGTCACAAATCTTAATTCCAGATCAGTTATGTTCCGCAAAATACGCGAGAAGTCTCAATCGAATGGCAATCTCTAGCGTCTGGCTATTCCAGTCTACATCGGTAGTATTTATTGCGCATGCTCCCCAGTAAGAATATGAGGTGACCGTTTAACTTGTCGAATATGGCTAGATCTTTTTGTTAAGGCCAACTCAATTTTCGCCAAGGTCGTGAGATGTAAATAAGATTGGGGCACATGATTGTTAGCGAGATTGTAGGTTATGGTTCGGGTAAGCTTTAGGGCTAGGGTTAACATTTTGTGACGTTTGACCAAACTTGAAGTTGGCCGTAACAAATAGATCTAACCTGTCGAATATGTCTAGCCTCGTTCTTTGAGTCGCTTGTTACAAATGGCGCTGAAACTCATTCAGGTATACGATTCGTGTACCAATGCTAAAATGTTTATTATTAAATATTGGATATGAGAAGCCCATCTTTTCCCGGTAAGATCACAACATCAATGTTGATTTAAATTGACAAATAATTCGTGTTTTCAATGTCGAAGACTGTAGATGATATTGAGTTTGAGACCAAGCTACTTTAAGTTTAATTGGATTTTCATAATGTATTGGATTATCATTAAATTGATTACAGTCAAACCTCGCTTCCGACAGTGTGGTCTTTTTGCAAAAAATGTATTGTTAGTCTTCAAAACAATTACCTTTATTCAAATGAGCCTTGAGCATTATTTGTTTAAATTTGAATTCAAACAACAAATAGAATGAGTTTCTAATTTGTTTCATTTCCGTCAATTTTTTAAGATTTTCGCAGGTTAATAAAGCTTTCAAAAAGGCTAATTTAGGCGCTGGCTCACTAAACAGAAGACCCCGAGTTCCATCCCACTGTTGGCCGTGAAAATTCATCTGGATTTTCCATTGTTCCCCTCTCCATTCTTGTCTTGGCAAGGAACAGCGTCTTGTCGTTTGGATGGGGCTAAATACCGAGGTCCTGTGTACACCTTGGCGTGCACGTAAAGTAACCCTTGACCGCGGATATGCCTGCCTATAATTCACCTTTCGAAAATGTCTCTACATTTAAACTTTTAGGCATCATTTTTTGATGAAAATTTCACTTGGTCTCCTCATGTTGATCATTTATCTAAGCTTCTTCGACAGAAAAATGTTCAATTACGCAAATTAAAACAGTTGCTTCCTACTGAAGTACTTAAATTGTTCTATTTTGCTCATATTCAATCTCATATTAATTATTGCTTCACTATTTGTGACTCTTGTTTAATTACATCTACATCTAAACTTGAGAGACTTCAAAAATTATCCTTTAAATTAATTTACAATAGACCTATCTCTGATCATTCCTTCTCATCTGATTATCTTCATCCTTAAATCTTCAAACTATTTATCAAAGACTTTTAATTAACAAATATATTTTTGTTTATAAAATTATCCATAAACTTTGTCCATCATATTTATATAATATTTTTCATTATAACACCACTCCATATTCATCTCTCAATAATAGACTTTCTATGTGTGACCTAATAATGAAATATTTAAATGTAGTTTACAATATAGAGGCACAGTGCTTTGGAATTCTCTCCCATATTCACTTCAAAATATTATAAATCTTCATTTATTTAAGAAAAATATCACTAGGCATGTTATTTCTTCTTAACCTGTAGCCTATATTTAATATATGAACTACTTACTACATATTATCTATCATATTGCTTTTAGTTTTGAAGTTAAACTATTTAGCTTATCAGTATATATTTGAATGTTTTGTGTGTGAGTATTTGTTAAGTGTCTTGTTCTGTTACTCAAGTTACTGTCTTTTTCATTTCTTTGTTATAAAGGGCAAAATTGTAAACAGGCTTTAAGCCTAGTTTTCCCCTTTGAAAATAAAGATATTATTATTATTATTTTTATTATACGGTTGGTGTATAACAGTAAGACGTATGGCTGTATGGCTTATACCCCGTTCAGACGCTTACGTTGAACTGGTTTAAAAACCCCGGGGATCGTTAAACCAGTTTAACTTAAGCGTCTGAACGCACATGTGGGGCAAATAAACCAGTTTAAAAACCCCAGCTCGCGACCTGTCTTCGAGAAGGCTTTTTATTTTAAACCGGTTCATCTTAGCCGTCTGAACGGGTTGGCTTAAATACCCCAGCTCCAGCTTTCTTTGGACATGCGCAATACGTTACATTCCTGGGGAAAATGGCGGCTTCATGCAGTGCCGATGCCAGTATTATTGAAAACGACCATAATAATAATAGAGGGGTGAACTGGGGTGACGAAGAAACACATTTCCTCATTTGTGTGTGGGGAGAGGACGCCATTCAAGCACAGCTGGATGGCACCGTCCGAAACAAAAAGGTGTGGCAGTCTATTGCCAATAGGCTAGACTTGAGGTTAGTTATTTATTTTCATTCTATATTGATTGATTCAAATCGCGGGTTGACTTATTTCTGACCTGATCAGTTCAGACGAGCCAGTCTTTATTTCAAACAAAACTGTATTTATAATTTATATCTATATGTATTTTGAAGTAATACTGTACCTTTAGAGAATATAATGCCGTCACATGAGTAAGGCCTACATGGCTACATTGGCTACAAATGCAAAATTTCTTTCCTGAATCGATAAATTTTTTATTCATCACACCTAATAGTAATACTATTTATAACAGCGTAAGCATTTTTCATAAATCCCGGTTTTCTCATATTCTAGTAGTAAATGTATTTTATATTTTCTATCTATCAGGAAAATGGGTACAAAAAATCTGCAGACGCCTGCAAGAATCGCATAAAGAATATGAAGCATTCTTATAAAAAAATAAAGGACCACAACAATAAAACTGGGAGTGGCAAGAAAACTAGCAAGTTTTTTGACGCTATGGATAAAATATTAGGAACCAGACCCGCTACCCGTCCAACACATATTCTGGAGACAAGTATTAATTCAGGTAAGCGTACATGTTATTGTTATTATATTGTCAGGAGCAAGACTAAATCGATGCGATAGTTGGCAGGCAATATAAGCTTACAAACATGGGATCAAACTCACATATACACACAAAACAAATTAAATCAATTTTTTTTTGCATAATAGCCATTGGAGAATTAGTGTTTTAAAATCAAAAATTATGGAAATTATAATGGTATTTTGTTTTTTTTTAATAGAAACACAAGATTTAGATGATTTTGATGATGATGATAATGATGAGGAACCAACAAGAGTCAATTTGGAAAATGAAGAAAATGAGCCTACAGAAACCGTCCTCCGTAAACAGCCAGAAAAAAAAGGTTCAGTTGCTATTTATTCTAAATGGTTATCAATATTTGAAAAGAGTACAACACTGGAGCTGCTTTCTGTCTTAAGAAAGTGGTAAACGGGTCACTAATTCCTTCTGTGATTCAATATAAATTTTAAAAAATGCTAGAATAACATCCCACTGAAAACTAGCTGTACGTATAGATGAGTGTTGTGCAGGACAAATGGTACGTTACTGGTTATAAAGTACACGGAACATTTGATTTTGTATCCAATCAAATTAGAAATTATAGGTGTTCAAAAAAGTCATACCTGTGACAACGCCCTTCACTACTTTATATAGCTATTATTTACCTAGAGAATTTTGTTTATGATTTTAATACATAATAAGATCGGATTCAAAATAGTGTAGCCATGAATAGGTAAAACAAAACAGAAGAGTGACTTAATAAAGTGTATACCTATATGGAAATAAAATGCAGGACTTGAAATGTTCTCCGACAGGTCTGACAGGTAGTAAGTAGGTGGACTAAACTTACTAATGTTCAGGAAATTGACTCCAGACCACAATAGGCCTACTCACATATGATGTCACATTTATTTAATTATTCCTTTACAATATGGTTATTTTTGGTACATGTCTGACCTCCAGGGACAGAACCACGCCCAATTATTGTATAAGAACTTTAACACACCATCCACACAAGTTTTCATCTATAGCATTTTGAAGTATCTACACAGAAGTACATGTGTAACGGCACCATGGTAAATATTGTGGTTGTTTTTGGATAATTAAGAGTGACAGGTTAGTTACTGAAGGGATATTTCGAGGCCCGAATTGTCAATCATTGTTCATTTATTTAAACATTAAAGAGTTATTTTATTTACTTACAGGACCAGAAAAGAAAAAAAGAAACAGAGAGGATATAATTCAACGTGTTCTGAATGAGGCAACAACCAGCTTTATAAATTATCAAAGAGAACAAGAAAGATCATATTTTGAATTCGAAGAAAAAAGAATGAGAATGGAGGCAGATTCAGAGAGACTTAGAGAAGAACAGAGACGGGAGGATCGACTTAGAGCTGAGGAACAACGACGCGAGGATAGAGAAAGAGATAGGCAACATGAATTAAGATTATGGAGTTTGTTTGCCAATCAGGGATTTCAGCAGCATCAATTTTCTCAACAACAAAATGGACATGTTCCGCAGCCACAATTTTTACAAGGAGCTAATGGACACACATATACAAATTTATAAAACCATATTATTTTCAAGACCTATCATTTTGTGCAAAAAGTTCTGCTATGTAGAGGATTTATTTTCATTGATAACAGTTTATTTTTGTTTGTAGAAATACATAGTTTTATTTATCATTCCATTGTGCCAAGGCTAGAGTTTTAATAAATTAATTTCCATGTTTTAATTATTAATATCCATATCATTAACTTAATGTATCATGAAGCTGAATCATATTATTTTCAAGATATACCATTTTGTGCCAAAATATCTGACATGTAGCGCATTTATTGTCATTGATAACAGTTTATTTTTGTTTCTAAAAATACATGAATTTTATTTGTCATTCCATTTTACCATGGCTCAAGTTTTAATAAATTTATTTCCATGTTTTAATTATTAATATCCATATCATTATCAAATGTGTCATGAAGCTGATATATGTACTTGGTTGTGAAAGTTAACTGTAGTTGTAATACGTTTTATGTGATTTCAGTTTTTATGAATTTAAATTACCAGTATGAGATTAATTGTTTCAATGACATTTAGCAATTGAACTGGGAATACACAGGAAAATACTTGTTTATATCTAAAGCAAAGTTTTGACTTGGCTTCTTATCGTTATCAAATAATGCGAAACGGTATGAGATGGGTGTTTTCTTCTTTGTAAGTCAATTGATAAGCCCCTAATAAGAACAAAACAGTCTGTTATGTTTTCAAAAATGGTAAATTCTCTTTTATTTAATACATTAATTGAAAGACATAAATTAAAAATTGATCAATAACTTTATAGTGTAGGCTTGTACAGTGGACTCGGAATATTCCGAATTATTAGACCAATTTGGGGGCGTTACACGATTTCCGTTGAATTAACATTGGATAATCCGGCCTTCAATCAGTGGGTGTTAACCGACAAGCAATCAATTATCGGTGAGCTTAAAGTATGTGTCAGTCTTTGTTAATAAAACCTTGATAATTTTATAATTGCTTGTAAGAGAGCGCTTGGTATTTCATTTGATTTTTTCACGTCAAATACAGCAACATTAAATATAAATTGCTGAGATGAAGAATCACTATCTTTATAATATTTTGTTCATAACGACGCACAAGTGTTTTGTACGCACCCAAAGTAAAAACATAATAATTTTATATAATAAAGTTTTAAATGTACAGAAAGGTTTATCATATTTTTAAGTTCTGGGTATTCGAAGGTGCATTAAAATAATACTTTGGTATTCGAGGTACAATAATACTTGCGGTTTTGAGACAATTAAGTATTCCGTCATTGTATCGGTCCTGTACAATGTTGAAAGTGAAAGAGTCCACTGTATATTTTTAATTACATACACTTCTTCAATGATGGATGACAATTGGACCTCTTATTATATAATCCAACTCTGGCTTAATGAGATGCATGGATCAAAAATCAAGATGCCAAAAGGTGTCAATTTAAATTCTGTATCCAAATACCTTTAAATTAGTATGTGACTTTGAAATATGCTTGGAATATTTAAATTTGAATGTACCATAATATTACTTTTAAGAAAGAAGAGATTGAAAATTTTGGAAACAAATTGAACTCCATTGCAACCATTTGGCCAGAGCTGATCACATATATAGTTATAATAGACCCACTGTGTTATAAGATTATCAGTTATTTTTCTGTTGTATGATTTTTATTATGAAAATAAACCAATTTAGTTTGACCATTTTTTAGTTTTCTGCAAACACACAAAATGAAACAATAAAAGTAAACAAAAGATGGCATATACACATAGAAATTCTTTGTAGTGAGTGTTTGTAACAGTATGGCCAATTATTACTTTCTTAATTATTTGTTTTGTAAGATTAAATTATTCCTGGAAGTATTCAGCCAGGATATTTCTAATGTTAGTGCAGTCTGCATTGATTGCCTCTTCGTTACTTTGATTTGGCTGAGGCATTTGGTTTTCTCCCTTTGCTACATCCTCTAGCCATTCAACCCTAAATGGGTCTTTTGCTTGTTCGCATATGTTATGAAGTATGCAACAGGTCATAATAATATTGGGGACCTTGTCAACATTCATATCCAATCGCTTTAATAAGCAGCGCCAGCGACCTTTTAGGCGACCAAAGGAATTTTCTACCGTCATGCGTGAACTACTTAGCTTATAATTAAATGTCTTTTGTTTTTGGGTCAGGTGTCCATTGTCTGTGTATGCTTTCATTAGAAAGTTGGATAATGGATAAGCCGGATCACCTAACAAGACGATAGGCAGGCGCACATTATTGACATCAATCATCTTGCCGGAAAATAATGTCCCAGACAGCCCTTTTTCATATATTTTGGAGTTTGCATAGACTCGTGCATCATGAACACTTCCTGGCCACCCGATATTTAGGTCTGAATTCATAACGATCATTCACAACTGCTTGAACAATGATGGAATACCACCCTTTTCTGTTATGGAAGTCAGCATGGTTCATGCTCGGTCCTAATATAGGAATATGACTGCCATCTATTGCTCCACCTGCATTTGGAAATCCCCATTTTGACCGATACCCATTTACAACTCTATTCAGTTCTTCACCTGATGGAAATTTAATGAATTTGTCCTTGATCGAAATCAGGGACTCACAAAATATGTGTATAATTGAACACACGGTTGACCGGCCAACCCCAAATAATGCAGCCACAGTTCTGTACTCAGCATTGGTCCCTAAAACCCATAAACTTATGCCAACCTGAAAAAAAAGGGTTACCATACTTTAAATCGGAGGGGTAAAAGAGTGTTCTCAATATTTACAATCATTTTAGTTCAGTGATAAAAGCTATTATTCAGTCTAGTATTAAATTGACAAAACTAGATTTGTTTTTTACTAAGGCCATCTACATGTACAAACAAATATCTACTTCCAATCCAAATCAGTAGGCGGCCAACATAGAAAATAATAGTATGTGTTGCACGTTCTTATATTCTCCAAGCAGAAGTGAATATCTCAACCAATACAGCGATCATAAAATGCAAAATAGCCTACCTGTCGCTCAACAGATATTGGTTCCCTCATACTTGTTACTTGTTTCTCAAGAAATGGTCTCAAAATTCTGCACAGATATTCAAATGTACATTTTGACATTCTGAAGTTTTCCAAATACTGTATATCATCATAAAAGCTGAAAATAAAATGTAATGGAATTAGATTAGGTAAATAATTAAACTTAAAGTAGTCAATATCATCCAAAATCTGCAACATTGAAAACACAAAGTATTTGTCAATTTCAATCAACATTGATCTTGTGATCTTAACGGGGAAAAGATGGGTTTCTGATATCCAATATTTGAGACAAAACAAACATTTAACCATTGGTACACGAATTGTGTAATGCATTTCAGTGTCATTTGTAACAAGGGACTAGAAGAACGAGGCTAGACATATTCCCACAAGTCATATTCTTATCTGGAGAGCATGCACAATAAATACTATCAGTGTAGACTGGAATAACCAGTTGCTAGACATTGCCATTCGATTTAGACATCTAGAGTATTTCGACGAATATAACTAAATATTAGCAATTTAGCTCTTTTAAGCATGCAACTATTATTATTCGAAATTAAAAATTGTCTATATGGCACATATAATAGCACAGGCCTATTTGTGTGAAGATTGTTTTGTTTTTTTAGGTTGTTTTTTTTTGGGGGGGGGGGGGGACGTTATATTTTCTATAAATATTTAATTGATGACCCCTTGGTTAATATTTTTTTTATACACCTTGTCCGTGTACATATTTGACTACATTATAATGATTATAAATTTTTAAAAAAAATATATGAATATAATATATCAAACCAAACCTGTATGCGTGATTCCACCAATTGTCACTGTGATACCGTGACCATATTCTCCTGTTGGTTGGCATGAATATCACAGAAGTGCCACTCATTAGCATCAGAAAGAAGTACCTTTGTTGACTCTGTCGTTGTCTAAACTGTTTAATTCTATGTCTCAAAGCATTAGTATTCATTTCTAGGAAATGTGTATAAACTATCCGCGAGTAAGAGAAACAAATTTCGCGGATTTTTTTTCACAGGATGTTTACATATTCTACCAGGAAATGGCATGTACGCATGCGTAGTTAACTCTAACCTCCGACCGAAGAGGTCAGAATAGTTAAACTGGTTTGACTTATAGTACGTGTGAACGCAACACGACGCTGTCTTAAAAACCCCGGCGATTTTGAACTGGTTTAAAAATAAGCGTCTGAACGGGGTATTAGGTGAGGTCAAAATAGCGTCTATGATCTAAATAATTGTAAAATAGTCGACGTCACGTGATGTGCCGTTAAAGACTATAATACTATTATAATATTATCCCACGCCAAATTGTTTGATTTGCTTTGATACGGTAACCCCACCGGCGTACGCCATACGTACAGTAAACACCCCGATATAGCCATAACAAAGCTAGATAAAGAGTTATTTAAATACTGACTGAAATCAAATGGGGTTTAACGTCCTACTGTTCTGTTCCAAGCTGGGCTAATGAAGACGGGCATACGCCATACAGTGTGCTATGGGGGAAGTTTTGCCCGGACAGCGGCACCACGGCCTACTCTTATATCGAATTCCAACTGTCAAGGGATCTTTGAATTCCACCCTAATGTGTACACGGGACCTCGGTTTTTCGTCCCACCCGAACGACTAGACAGCTGTTCTTGTCAGGCCCCCCGTCCTGCATCACTGACAAGGGGGAACCACGAAGGAAAATCTGGATGAACTTTCTCGGCCAATGCATGGATCGAACACCTATGACAAAGAACTCTATAACTTTCATCAAATTGAACGATCATTTAGGTGCTTATGACTTTATGACCTCTGCTGGTTTTTGATAATGTTTCAGCTCTGTATAAACTTCTGTTAAGGCACGAACTGGCTATGATCTAATTAAATATGTAATTAATCCCATATGTCATTTACAAACTACATATGATCTGTGTACAAGCTCATTATGACTTCAAAGGAATATGCACTGGTCAGTAAGCATACCGTGACGAGATAATGATCATGAGTCGTATCTATTGTCCGAGGGTATATATTGAGGAGTTGGTGACAGTAAGACAGACGACTAGAGAGGAGGCGAGGCGCAGACGAGAGATCGGCGTATGGACTCACCGAGTTGGCAGAGGGGCGGAATGGTGGATTTAATATTGTTATATGTGTTCCTGTCGTAGTCTAGTTCCCGATGTAGTTTAGTTCATGCTGTTTATATGTAACCGTTTGATATTCTGTTCCGATGTAAATAAATCATAATATTGTATTTACTAAACTGATCTCTTATCACTAAGGTAGTGTTACACACCCGACTAAATACTGACTATTTGACTTGTAATACTATATGGGGGATATATTTATGTCACGCAACCTAAAATAGAATATGTAAAAGGCCATTTGGAGTTTTGTTGTTTTATCAAACCAATTTATTAAATTTACAAAAACAATATTTCAGTAACTTTCGCAATTCGATACAATTTGATTGAGAACCATAAGAATTCGTCCTACTGATATCGTGTTCGTCTAAAATCAGTATATCCTCGTCCAGGTCGTGTCGCACAGTGGTTTCATAACGACCGTTTCCCGGCACGGTTACTATAGTTACCTGATAGAATGTTTCTGTTCTGGAAGCCACGTGCTCAAATTCGACCATATTTTTGTTGGGTTTGTATTTTAAAATTTCTACAACTTGTTTTAAGCCAAGTAAAGCACATTTACTCCGATGAGAGGATGTTATATCGTTTAATTTCGATAAAACTGCGTGAAGTAAACGGACTAAAACAGGATCGGTCTGTAGGACTGGTTTCCAATCCAAACATGCACACCAATGTACTTTAATTCCAGCATGTGTACATGTTCGTTCTTGTGGAATTTCATTCAATAAACTTATTCCCCGTTTTGAAAGGTCACCTGTCTTGGTTCCACTAAACGAAAGTATGTCTTTTAAAGTTTCATGTATATCAAATGGCGTCGTTAAACGCTTACTATTAATTTTTAAGTTGTTTATTATATCCGGATAAACTTTTTCAACCCATGGAGGGAAACGCAATGCAAATAAAGGCATCCTTTCCTCCTGTTTTCCCTGAACTGTTGAGCGGAATGTCTCAAACCTTGATCCGTGATCAGCCATGAATATTAATAGCGTATCGTTTAAATATCCATTTGTATTTAAAAAGTTAAATAAATTAGCTATATCTTCATCCATATATTCCACATTGTTATTGTTACCGTGGCTTATTTCTCCATGAAAGCCAAACATAAACTTTCGTTTCGTTGGATACATGGTAAACATTCCTTTTAAATAATCTAAGAAATATTGATGTTTAGGTTTAGATCCATAACACAGCGGAAGGTTAACTGGTGGATCCTTCATAAATAAACTTAAAAATGAGTGGAGATAAGTTCGGAAGAAACCATACTTAAATTCGAGCACAAAATCAGCAGCTACAAAAAATGGTCTTAAGTAAAAATCTGTGGGCTGTTCCGCAAATCCGTTGGCTAGCATATGAAAGCATCCAATTCCCGGATCATCATCCGCCCAAAGAGTTAGGTATCCTGATTTTTTATATTCCTTCCATATAAGTGGAAATCCATCAGCGGTCGTAGCACCCGGGTAACCGTGTCGTATTTCCGGTAGTTCATCGGGTGTCTTTCCCGTTAAAATAGGAAACATTGCTGCTCTGGTTGCATCCCCAACTATATTATAACCCTCTAATTCAATGCCATTCAACACGTTTACAAAATAATCTCTAGATTTCTGAAGTTTTCTAATGGATGTCATCCGTGAAATTGAATCCAGGCCCATAATAAATACATTCAGGTCCAAAGGTTGACGTTTTAAATTTGAGGTTCGTGAATATAACTCTGGGTGAAATGCAACCCCGGCATGTCTGTTGGTATACGACTCGCCCGAACTTGATTCACATGCGACTCGGATAAAGTCATCCTTTAATACGGTTCCATTTTTTATATCTTTGACAACTTCCCCTTCGACTGTATTAAAATCATCCTTACGAAACAGGGGATATATATCACACGTAATATCGCCGTAAAGTTTTTGTGAATTTGCATAGATAAAGAACGTTCCATTATCGATATATACCCAATTTCCCTTTTTGGCACATTGTAGTTTGGGTAGTTTGTGAAAATACTGCGTAAGTAATTGATTAAATGGATCTAATTTGGGGTGAACACATGCTAATTTTGAATTAGTTTTATCGGAATTTTCACTCTCCAAATGGGTCGAATGGCTGTCGATAAAGTGTTGCTTCAAGAGTGCATTATAAAACTCCTCCTCGTGTACAGACATGGGTTCGTACGTACTATGATTGTTCCTTAGAACGACGTGTTGGTTAAATATGTCCCAGATAACATCAGTCTGCAATATCAAAAACACAACAAGAGTACACGACATCACAATATATTTTTTCTTTCGTTTCACGATCAAATAAACATAATGCTTGATATATCGGTGTAGGTTCCACATAATATCCATCACACAGACAGAAGACAAACAAGAGCAACCATATACAGCATGAAGGAGTCTGTAGCCTGCAAAAGAACCGGTCAATATTTAGGCTGTTGTGTGACACCGCGGTTCTACACTCCTCACGCGAAAGCTTTCTTATCGTTGTGACTGGTCCGCGGTGAATTATCCTGTATTACACATTTTACCGTGAACTACGATGTATGTTTCAATGAAATCTATTTCCATATACTTCCTTTATTTCTAAATAATTTCAAGAATAGTTTTAGAATTTTTTCGGCACCGACCAAAAGGTTAACATTGACGCCTCATTAACTATTTCATTCCTCTCACTGTCAGCGATAGTGAATGGAGGTCAATATTTATAAACTTCTCACTCGTCTCAGTAATAGTCTATAGTATAAACTTCTCACACTGTCTCGGAAGATAACACCTAAATGATACGGATAAATATAGCTACCAGTAAAGCCGGTAACAGGTCATGCAATTATTAATCACGCCATTCTTCGAGAGCTAGCTGTAGACAGGCAGAGGCAATTATCTGTAGGACAACAAATTATCACGTGACTCGCTGATAACAAGGATCGTGTGGGGATGAAAAGGCTGTTATAGTTTAAACTATATTTTATTCAATAAACTGAAATGGATTGAACAACAGGCAAAGGCCTATATAAGTTCTCTCCAAACATATAAAATAGTTTAATCTTATGTTTACAGTAAGGCTGTTGTACATAATCAGATTATTTCAACTTACTTATCCGATGGAAATACAGCTGTATAGGAGATATTTTAAAAGTGATAGGCACTGCATGTTTCAACATCTTAGATTTGACCACAATTTGACGCTTGAAACTACGTTAACAGAGAAAAAGTCTAATATTGCATCATGATTACTGTTTTAAAGTATTTTCGTGTTTGATTTATATTGAATTTATCTCATCTTTTTTACCGAATGCTATTATACGAGTGGTAACCTATTAAACAATTGAGTAGTTAGAAATTGTTCTAATAATTTGATCAACATTCTATATCCTCTGCAGATCGTATAAAAGTGTAATGACCAGATCCAGCAGCGCCACATGTAATATTAGATAAATATTTTGGTGGCCCGCTTTTTAAAAAGACTGAAGCAGTTGATATTTTAATTTTGATTTTTTTAAATAAAAATTAAATAACACATTTGATGATTAACCATGCAGTTTCTGTAATTGGAGTGGTATGTGGTTGTTTATAAGTTAGTACCATGTTCTATAGATTTTGGATCTTAACAACCAAAATATACATTAACCAAAAAAACACACAGTTCTTCAATCACTACTATAAACGTACCAGAAACCTGACCAATTCTGGTTATTCAAACAGAAATCGTCCTTATGTGACTTCTACGACAATCAGTGATTTGACAACGCGGTGTGGTAAATGCAGTACGCCATATCACATGATGTGTAGTTTCTGTCTGGTTGTGTTTGTAATATCAAATCGATATCTGAGCTGAATCTTTCCGCTTGAATTGAACAGTTCCAACCCAAATATCACCAATAGCCCGGTGGCACGATTTACCCGAAACCACGACAGTCATACGGTTACATCTTCTATTTATGACAATAGCGTCATAAATAGATCTTTGCCTTTGTCCAAAATTTGTGCATGGCCAAAAAGGGTCAACCCCCAAACGATAGAAATAAGCTTTTTTTTCTGGCAATAGAACTGACCAACATACTGATAGCACAAACATTAAATCTGCTTCGGTTTATACTCAAACTAATTAATGGCGGCATGACTCACTACAACATGTGGTGGTCGTTTTTTAAAGGAATATAATTTATGCGATCTCGATAAGTGATTTATTACAATTTCATTAATTACGAATAATGAAACAGATATATAATTGAAATAATAAACCAAATGATGAAATAAAAATTAATGAGACGCTGCCACCGAGATTTTATTGACCAAACAGACATGATGTACGGCCAATAAATGAAATGGGGTTTAATGTCCTACTGTTCTGCTCCTAATCTGGGCTAATGAAGACGGGCATACGCCATACAGTTGCT